CAGCAATTGACGACAAACAAAAGAAAGTAAGCCGGAAAAGTAGACCAAGGTTCAGTGTATCTATAATTATACATACATACATTCATACATACATACATACATACATACATACATACATACATACATACATACATACATACATACATACATACATACATACATACATACATACATACATACGATATATACATACATACATGCAATACATACATACATATACATGCAATACATACATACATACACGCAAAAACACACAAACACGAAAAGTTTATTCATATGAAGATTCTAATTGTTTCATAATTAAAAACACACATACATGCATATACATACATAGATGTTATATATATACAGACACACACACACACATATATATATATATTAATATATAAAGTTTATTCTATATATATATATATATATATATATATATAAATCCCTGATTTCATTTGAACAGCAAAGAGGTAAATAAAAGAAATACACGTACACAAAATTACACAACGACAATGATAATTAAAAAAATAATTATTATTATAATATATAATTATAACTAGGGATGCACCGAAGTTCGGCCCCGGCTCCGGCCAAGATCCGGCTTTTTTTTCAAATCCGGTCGAATCCGGATTTGGTGGCCGGATTTAAGCGTCTATCAACTTTTAAAAATGTTATAAATAGAGAAAAAAAAATTTTATTGAATTCAATTAATTTTATGTCAATAAGTTAAAGGCTAAGGCTAAGCTAAAGGCATACATGACACATAATAACAACATCACCAATTGTGAGGTAATCTGGACAATTTTCTTTATGTTATAACATGGGTTATGCATAAATTATAAGCTGATCTTTGTGTAAAAGAACTTGTGCACGTGTATATACTATATATTGATAATTGCATATGACGGATCATATAGCTACATAATATATATATATAAATAGAGAGAGAGAGAGAGAGAGAGAGAGAGAGAGAGAGAGAGAAAGAGATACATAAGCACATAATTTAAGAAAGGTTAGGCTAGGTATACATGACACATAATTACATCACTAATTGTGCGGTGAGCTGGACAATTTTCTTTGTGCTTTAACTTGGGTTATGCAAATATGCATAAATTATAAGCTGATCTTTGTGTACAGAATTTGGCGTATCACACAACTTATTCATATATTTGAATTAAATAACTATTTGCTTGGTGTTATTTTTTGATGTTCAACAAGTAGATAACCGTAAATGTGAGTATTTTTTCTAACTTATGTAAAATGGTAACTAAAATCCGGCTCCGGCCGGTTTTTGAATTTTAAATCCGGCCAAGATTTGAAAAACCTGAATCCGGTGCATCCCTAATTATAACATATAATTATGACTATAATATAATTAAACTATATTTAAAAAAAACACAACACGAAATGATGAAACGGTGCTAATAAAAAGGAGACGGCAGAGCAGTAATAATATAACATGATGACGATAATGGTTACAACAACAACAATAATAATAACATAAATCACAATAATAATAAATAAAAAAATAATAATAATATATCATAATTCTAATTTTGGGCGATAATAGAGCTGCAATGGTGCGTCCTTGTTTCTCCACCTTGTCATGCAGATGAATTTTAACGTGTGGTCCTTGCCTAGAATCTCCTGCTGGCACATCACCTCTAGCTGTTATGATGGTCGCGGTACATACAAACATACTTACAGACATACATGCATACAAACATGCATACATACAACATACATATACATACATACATACAACATACATACAAACATACATACAACATATATACATATTTACATGGAAACATACATACAAACGCACATACAAGCAAATACATACATATATACCACATATACATACAAACCTCCCTAAACTTTGACATGTCATTGAAGAGTTTCAAAGCCAAAAATTTTTTAAGATGAGTTATTGTGGTCTGAACTGAGCACCTATTGATGACGACGATGATGATAATGATGATGGTGGTGATGATGAAAATGACGATGGGGATGATAATGATGATGGTGGTTTAGGTAATGATGATGATAATGACTAAGATGATATAGATAGTTAACAAAGCCACCATCTACATCATCAACACCATCATCATCTCATCATAACCTGATATATTTGCGTTTCAGTTGTTGTAATTGACCCTGGTAGCAATCCAGGCACACACTCACCTATATGAACAAGTGAGTGAGTGAGTGAGTGAATGAAGAAATAAATTGAAAGGTGAAGGAATAAATGTGCGAATAATTGAAAGATGGTAAGTGAATTGATGAATGAATGAACAAATGACTGAGTTAATGAATGAATACGTTGAATGAACAAATATAAAAAAATGAATTAATTAATAATCTCCTATCAATAATAACTTGTTCGTCAGATCGATGGTAATCATCATCATCTCCCCCGGGGGCTGCCTGGTTTCCAGGGATGTGCCTGTTCGTGGTTTCTGGAGATGTGCTGTTTTCTTTTTCATCTAATTAATTTAAATTTAAATTGTCACTACTACTGTTATTGCTACTACTACTACTACTGCTACTACTACTAATACTACTATTCTACTGCTACTATAGTAATAACAACAATGGTGAAAAATCTGAGTGTCTGAGTTGAATAAATATTTTCCCGTCGTAAAAAAAACAGTGAAAAACAAATTCCTTCAACTTTCAAGCTGACATAACAAAGAACAAACACAAAGCAAAGAACTGATAGAGAAACAGGAGAATAGGGCCATTTATTCTCGGCTTCTCAAATTGAAAAATCAATGATAATCTTGCAAAATGTAATGAAAAAAGGGCAGACCAGTGGATATTTTTGGGTTTGGAATACCATTGCTTTTGTAGAAATCATCTTCCCTTCTTATTTCATCTATGAATGAATGAATGAATGAATGAACAGATAAAACAATTGAATGAATAGATAAATGGAGGAATAGATGAATGACTGAATGAATGAATAAGTGAATGAATGAATAAGAACATACAACAACTATAACAACAAATAATAAAAATAATAATAACAATAAACCTTCTCTCAAATTTGGCACCAGTTTGAAAACTATATCATGCATGGTCCTGTCATGGCTAGAATAAGAATAATAATTATTATTATTATAATTATTATTATATATTATCATAATTATAATTATTTAATAATTAAACACCTGATATAGTTGAGTGGATGACTTTGGTGAATTACTAGACCGCATTTAGGGCAGGTATTATTTTCCTCCAAAAATTTTACAATGCATGACTTGCAGACTAAGAAAGTAATATAAATAAATGTAATATAATTTCCCATGTTACTCATAATTAAATCATATTATTTACAATAAATATAATTTTTTATAATTAGTGAAAAAATTATTCATAATAATAATAACACATCACTAATTTATAAGCCCTAGAATATATTAAACAACAAAAGCTATCTAACTAAAATTTAAAATTTAGTTAGATACTAAATTAGTTAATTAGTTACTAAATATATGTGTATTGCTAAAAAAAGATACAAACTAATCTTAAATTATTCCCTAATAAGTCACATCACTGCTGTCAGTCAAGTCAATTAATTGACTCCAACACTAATTCATTAACTAACATAAAATCACTCATTACATAAAACTATTTCATAACAACATAAATAATTTTATTGATTACTTTTCTAATGATTAGAATCTAATCCACAATCAATCACCACTAACAACTAACAAATCATACCACTGGCCGTCAAGTCAACAAATTACTAATTCCCTAATCAATGACTAACAAGTATGTAGGCATTCGGTGATCGTGGTGGCTTCGATCATGTACCCCTTACACAACATGCATGTAATGCAGGGGTTCAATGTCTTTAGACGGATCTTGCGGTCTGAAGACCCAGCGCCTCTGGGCTTCATTATTTTTTCAAAAGTTTTTTTCGGGTTTATTAAAATAAAAACTAATTAGTAATTAATTAGTGTAATTGTAAGTAATTATTAGTAATTTCTAAACGAAACAGCAGAACAGTGTGGAATAGATTGTGTTTCAACTTTTAATGTATTGTTTTTTAATTTAAAATAAAATTAAATCAATTATTTGGGCTGTCAAACGCGAAAAAAAAAGAGATTTTAATGTGAAAAAGTGATTTAATTTTAAATAATAACACACATATAAGGCAAAGTTAATTAATTTTAAAGTGAAATTTAAATTAAAATCCAAAATTTATATAGCAAATAAAGAAAACAGACAAGTAAGTATGGACAGCTAAATGTCAAAACTAAACTTAAGTTTTTGAAATTATCTTTGTGAATTTAGAGCTTATTTTGTAACTCATTTTATATTTTAATTAAAATATTATTCAAATTATTTGTGATTTTTATAAATCAAAAATAGGCTTATTAGCATTTGCTAAGTTTATCAATATAAATCATATACGTAGATGCTGAAATAACCATGGATATAACGCTAAAAAATTCTCAATTATTTCAATGATTTTTTAATGGGTCGGGCAATTTGATTTGCTCAATCAATCAATCAATCAATCAATCAATCAATCAATCAATCAATCAATCAATCAATCAATCAATCAATCAATCAATCAATCAATCAATCAATCAATCAATCAATCAATCAATCAATCAATCAATCAATCAATCAATCAATCAATCAATCAATCAATCAATCAATCAATCAATCAATCAATCAATCAATCAATCAATCAATCAATCAATCAATCAATCAATCAATCAATCAATCAATCAATCAATCAATCAATCAATCAATCAATCAATCAATCAATCAATACAAATGTCAAATCGAAGATATCCGCGATGTTCAACAGCGCTCCTCAATGAATTTTGCTGACTGATGGGTCTTGAGATCCGCTCTGAACTTCGTAAGTGATGGAGAAGTAATCAGAGAATGAGGTAGAAAGTTTCAGAGAATAAGGTCAGAAAAAGCAAATCAGATTTATCCATTGAAAGAGAACAAGATGTGGGAGATATATGAGAAAAGAATGGACTCTTTATATCCCTATAATTATTATTATTATATAAAAATGTAAATATATTAACAAGAAATAATTTTATTTATTAAAATTATTTAAAATTTAAACTTACCAACGTTACAATATTGAATTGCATAAAAATAGCAGATGGTTAATAAACGAATATTTACCGATTTAGTTTATCTGTGTAAATTTTTTTGGTGGAAAGTAAATTTAAATTAAAGATAAACAAGGAAATCGCAACGAACTAGTTTATCGTTTTAGTGGTCGCTTGACGTTTTACACTATTTGACAGCAATTAGGAGTTCAGTAAAGTGATGAAATTGTACAGAGGCCACAAAAAAATGTCGGAATCATTTTTCTCTAAATCCATCCACATCGCATCCGTGGTCGCCGCCTATTGGTAAATTTTTTAAGTTTTTTTTCAAATTGATTTAATTTTTAATAAATAAAAATAAAAAATTCATATGGCCGTTTTTTTTATTTTATTAACTATTTCAAGGTTCGTATCTATATCATTGGTGTTTCTGAACAAGTATCTTCTGAGTAGCAGTGATGTCAAGGTGGTTTTTACTTTTTAAATTAAAATAAATAAAGCTCAATTAATAAGTTAATATTATAATTATTTAAATATTTAGTTTTATTTTAGTCATTGTTTATAATAATGTACTAATATGTAATATAAGACATAAGTAGTAATATGTGTGTTCTAATATTTAATTGTAATTTATACATTTTATTAAAATTAAACTGTAAAATGATTACAAAAAATTCCTTCAAGCTTGATGCCCCACTGTTCATAACATGGTTCCAATGTGTAGTGGCCGTCGTTATCTGTTTCTTCCTTAGCCTTGCCGCTAAATTTTTTCCAAACATCATCACATTTCCAGAGTTTAAAATTGATTTTGGCATTGTTAAACAAGTATTTAAATCTGCTTGTAATATGTTTTTGAAATTCCACCATAATTTTATGATGGTGTAATGGTTATGATGTTGTTGATGCTACCGGTAAATAACAAAGAGGTACTAGTTATCGATATATGATATGATATATATGATATATCATTTATTCAACATTCCAAGGTCTTGCCGTTGTCGATAATATTTGTGATGATGATAACGTGTAACAATCTTTGCCTCAAGTACGTCGGGGTTGCTTTCTATTACATTGTCAGATCTCTCACCACAGTTTTCAATGTCGTGAGTATTGGAAGCTCATTCTAGAGTGGATTCATTTCATTTGTTTGTTCATACATTGGCTCATTCATTCAAATCATTTAGTCAATTCACTCATTAATCCATTCAGTTGTTTATTCATTTATTAAATCATTCATTCATATATTTATTTCTTTCCATTTAAATTAAATTATCCTGCCAGATTCTCTCCTACATAATCTTGAAGCAGACGACTTCGGGCAGAGCAATTGCATGCTGTGGCATCATCATTGCCGGCTTTGGTCTTGGTGTTAATCAAGAAAATGCTATGGGTCTAATAATTTTTTCATAATTTTTAAATATTTATAAGTACTGATAGTTCATGTCATCTTGAAAAACAAGCTCATCATATTTGCTTAAAGTTTGAAAAAGAAATTGGTATTTTTGGTCTTTGATTCTTTGCTCCGATGCTGCAACTTTTACAACTTTCATTGGCTAATAATTTCTTTTGTTTCATAAAATATTTTTCACTAATCACGTGTACTAAATGAAATTTCGCACATCAGGTGACCTATCAATCTGGGGCGTAATATACGGAGTCGGGGCAAGTTTATTCGTTGCATTGAACGCCATCTACACTAAAAAAGTTTTGCCGGCCGTTGACGAAAATATCTGGAGGCTGTCCATTTACAACAATTTAAATGGCTGCTTTCTATTTTTGCCTCTCATGATAATTGCCGGGGAATTTCCAGAAGTGTTGAAATTTCCGAAACTTCTCGATCTTACATTCTGGTCGTTTATGGCGCTCAGTGGTGTCTTCGGGTTTGCCATTGGCTATGTTACAGGACTTCAAATACAGGTCGGTCTCTCTCTTAATCTCTCTCTCTCTTTCTTTCTCTTTCTCTCTCTTTTTTTTTCTCTCTCTCTCTCTCTGTCATCTTTCTCTACCGTACTTTGCTTTTCAACATTCTCTTTTGTGTTTTGTAATTTTTTGGCGTTTAATTTGTAGCTATCATCTTATTTAAATGCACGGTAACATACACGCGAGTAGACACATCCATCTATCAATCAATCGATCCGTCCATCCATTCGTCCATCAATACATCAAATTATCTATTAATCCAACAGCCAACCAACCAATCAATCAATCCATCTCAGGTTACATCCCCGCTAACCCACAACATTTCCGGGACAGCCAAGGCAGCCGCCCAGACGGTCCTAGCGACGATTTATTACCACGAAGTTCGAGATTACCTGTGGTGGTTTAGTAACGGGGTCGTTCTGTTTGGTTCTGCAGCCTACACGCACGTAAAAAGGCAGGAAATGAAGATGAAATTTGAGGAGGATAAGAAATTAGTCGAAGAAAAAATTGTGAAAAGCGATGATGTGAGTGATGGCTGTGCTGATGCTGTTGTTGTTGGCGGCGATATTGGCGGTGGGAGTAAGATGGTTGTGCTTAATGTTTAATTGGTGGTTAGCTGTGTGGTTGGTTGGCTGTCTTGTTTGTTGATTGGTTATTTAGTTGCCAGATTGTGTGGTTGATAAGCTAAGTAATTGATTTTAAGGTTGGCTGATTGATTGATATATACGTTCATTTACTTATTTCATATCGGCTGGTGTTATTTTTAGGCCAATGACATTTATATATGAAGTTGCAACTTGTGATAGACAATTTTTTTTAACGTTTTGGTTTATGTTATCTCATCCCATGAATTGCTGACTATTATCATTGATTCATTTTATCTTCATTTGTAAATATACAGATACTTAATTATTCAGGGCGGGATTTAGGGGAGGAGGGTAGGGTTCTGCCGCAGGGCCTCCACAAGTAAGGGGCCTCTGTAATGGGGAGGAACATTTACCAACTTCATTTGCGTCGTCTTGCTATTTCATTTGCGTTCTCTATTACTATTTCTCTTCTCTTGCTAATAAATTCCCTTGCTTGGAAATCATTTTTAAAAAGTTTACTTGATTTTTTTTCATTTCTTTTGCAAATAAGTGTATGCCCTTTGTCGTCCTAAGACCTCTGACCTCTAAATTCGACCCTGCCTGCAATTACGATATTCATGTTAATATAATTAACCTATTTATTTAATTAATTAATTTATTCATTGTTTTAGGCCACTTAATCTTGTGTAAACACGGGTACGTTTTACATATTTTATAAATAGAAAAATGTGTGTGTGCGTGTGTGTGTGTGACAGTCGTTACTTAATTGGTGCAACCATTCAGTAACATAAATCGTCTCATTTCATTATAGTATTTATAGATAAGTAAATTCACGACTTTGAAGAGGCGCTTTTCAGTTTCATTTTTTTTTGGGGTTGCTAATTTTTGGTCATAGGTGTTGATAGTTTTTTATGTATAAATATACATGCATTAGGTATTAGCAATGTAGCTTTTTTTATTAATATTTGTTCGCCATTCATGGAAGAAATGCCACGGATGATGAAAAAAATGTATTCAAGATCCTGTTCATATTATTTATATATATTAATATATATATATAACCAAGACAGCAATAATAACGAGAGTAGGAAGTATCAAATGTCGATGATGTAACTGCACTGAGTCAAACACATCAAAAGCAGTGGTGAAATAGAAACATTTTTTTTACATTTTATATTATATTATTATTATTGCTTTTATTATCTATATTATTTTTTTTTCTTTTTCCCTTTATCTTTTTCGTTTGGTTTTTTATTCTTTGCTTTGGGGTCCTCCTCATCTCCCGCCAATATTTTAGCGCGCTTTTTGCCCAACGGCGTTTTCACGTACCACGTCTGTAGTGTGCGAAATGTTATGATTATTATGATTTATATAGCGCCATGCTTAGAATAAGTTTTCGTAAGTACGCGCTGTGTGCACACGCAAACGTGCAGCACAAAACATCTCACATGTGTATTTTAGACAAAAATCTATTTCTAGTTGAACTCGGCCACTACAAATCAGAGCCGAGCAGATGAATTAAGATTGACAAACATTTAAGAAACTATCAAAATACCTTATAAGCTTCTTCCTCTTCCTTAAATACCGGATCCATGGTCGATAATGCGGGAATAAATTCACTAGCTGTCAGCGGGTGATGGTCAATATTCTTCAGTCGGATTTCAGTTAGGATGTTTAGGCAGGCGTTCGAGATGGACCCTGGGGTGTATCCGTCAGTGACCTTGGCCAGAGATCCGAGGTCAAGTGCGTTGGTTATCGTTCCTTTGTTTCTTAGGATCAGTTCCCCCCAGATCACTGTAAGTAAGGTAGCGTGTGTCAGTCGGCGTTACACCGTTCGTGGTTAAAAAGTTTTAACTAAATTAATTTATGAATAAATACAACATTTTTACGTTTCTATTAGTTCATAATAGCAGTAGAAGTATTCATCTGTCAATATCCCCACAATGAAATTTGAAAACTAATACAAAAACGTACCTTAAAAAAATAAAATCGAACCATGAAACTAAACCAACATCTTCTGGAATCATAATCCGGCCTGGGAATGACAATGATACGCTGGTATAGGGAGGACATCGGTTTAACTTCGCCTTCAAAGGGCGCCTTAGAGGTTCCAACTAATAATATCCTATCCTCACCCTTGACTAACTTCAAGGCTTTTGGCAGTTCCTTCCTCAATCTCTTGGGGTCTGACTGATTTATCACAAATATTTGTTATTATCGATCATTAATATTTATTTTTACAAATTTTAACTCACTATTTCGTCTGCGTAACGTAACTATGAAGTAAGCACATCACGAATTTTCTATACATTATAACCAGGTAACTGGTCGGTATAACAATTGAGAGAATATACATACATACATAATTGCAAGTTCTTACTTAGTATTTAATATAAATTACTTCAGCAGTTTAATACAAATGAAAAATTAAAAAAATTAATTGCTTTTCACTCTTATGAACGAATACCAATGTATGTACATTATCTGGAAGGAGTATGTCTACCCGTGTGTCTGTGTTGTGTGCGTGTGTATGTGTAGTATATGCGTGAGTGTTAGCCAAAAAGAACACAATGTGAATCACAAACAAACAAACATATCTGGCAAAATAATTCACACAGTGAAAAGAATCAAACCTTTCATATATATATATATATATATATATATATATATATATATATATATATATATATATATATATATGCACACACAATATATATATAGCCATGTTTTTTTATAGGGCTTTATATGAATACCTCCCATTCCTAAGTATATTAAGTTATTCATTGTTCATTTATTATTAATTAATTAATTAATTAATGATTTATTTATTCATTTATTTTTGACAAATATTATATGAACTTTAAAAAAAAGGTATAGAATTATTATAGTACTGCTACGATAATCCTGTAACTAAATTAATATAATATAATTGTAACAACAACAACAACAAACAACAATAATAATAAATTATTATTATTAATTATCATAATTAATTATGATAAAAATCTTCATAATTTTCACCATATCGTTCTTAGCGAGTTTCTTCTTGAACATCTTCTCACAGTCATCAATGAATATAACGCTGGGCTGCAGAGCCTTGCCTATCTAACAACAATAATAATAATAATAACAATAATAATAACAATAATAATAAGAGTAAGAATTATAACTGGCTGTACACGGATCGCTCCATTCGAATGCAAGAATAATGTTAAGAAAGAAAACCTTGAAGACCATATGCAGCAGTAACTTCAGACCATCTTTCCCGGGATACTTGCCCGTGATATTTGTGGCCGTTAGGTCGATCAAATTGGCTCCAGTCTCGTTGCAGATGGCGTTCACTAACATCTTTTTGCCTAATTAGGAATGGGGTTTTTTTTTTACTTATAGTAGTAATGCGATTCTTTACCAGTAGATCGTTTTGTGTAGTGTACGATGTAGTATATTGACCGATGGTAACAGTTATCAATAAATAAATAACCGACATTAATAATAATAATAAATAATAATAATAATCAATAATAATAATATAAATAATTATATAAATAATAATATGAATAATAATGATTTTAATTTGACCTGACCAGTGCCAACAGGTCCGGCTAGCAGTATTGACTTGGTCAAGGGCGCTTTCTCGTGCACCACTGCTGAGCCTTTTAATTTTATTAAATTATTATAATCATATTATCATACTGATAATTATTATATTATAATATACCGATACAGAAACAGAGAGAGAGAGAGAGAGAGGAAAAGAGAGAGAGAGAGAGAGAAAGAGAGTAAGGAAAAAAGAAAGTAGACACGACAAACAAACACACACATACACCTAGAATCATGTAGACGTACTACAGAGAGGAAACTCACCAAGAGGCAAAATGGCGTACTCGGTAATGATCCTCCGAACATCTCCTAGAGATGGGCTGGGTTCGATATTCGCCAGTTTCAGGAGGGTACCGATATACGAATACTCGCCGACGAAATCTTTCAATTTACATTTTGCAGGTCGCTTTATGATTCCCTCGCATACCAGTTCTTCGTACAGTGATTCGATTGTTCTGTACGTGTTGGTTTGTGTTGTGTGTGTGTGAGAGAGAGAGAGAGAGAGAGAGATAGAGAGAGAGAGAGACAGACAAACAGACAGAGAAAGAAAACAGAGAAATTGTGTCAATCAACATTGGATTAAAATGTGTATGTAATTATGGACCCAAGAAAAATTACACTACACCAACATTTATATTATATTCCTCTTCATCAACACCACCACCATCATTCATCAACGTCATCATTAACTTCGACCTATTTCCTGTCATATCTCTATCCTTCTTCTTATTCTTCATGGAGGTATGCTGCCTTGCAAAGCGCGGTGAAACGTGTAGCAAATGGCGGGATTCCTTCAGGATCATCAGCTTACCGGCCACGTCATTTATTATAATTGTTTTTATTGTAATTTTTCCCAGATGAATTTCTGATATTATTATTTTTATTTTTTTTTTCCATACGATTCAAATGCCCGCGTGTGTAAAGCAGTTGGAAATTATCATTCTAACATTAATTTATCTTCCATTAATAATAATATAATAATAAAAAAGACTATTATTACCATAATCATTATTATCATCATAAAGACACACACACGCACGCACGCACGCACACTAATACAAACACACTCACACAAACACACGCACACAAATGGATACTAGTATGTCGAAATATTTGTGATTGCAAATAAACATTATCCATATCCGTGATAGCAACTAGTCATGATTAGGACGGTGATATAAATGATGAAAGAAGCAATAATAATAATAATAATAATAACAATAGTGGCTACAAAAAGAATTACTATAACGATGACGATGTGATAATTTGAAAGATTTTTCATATTTTCTCGTCAAACAAATTATTAAAAAATGAAGAAATATAAAGTAAATCACTAAAAATGGTGAATAATAATAACAATAAAAAAGCAATAAGAATAATAATAATAATAATTTCAGTTCATTTTAACTCGATGTGACTTGTTTTCCCTTTAAAAACGCCTCTCTACCATCGTCACCTATTCATCCAAGACTCCATGTCATCGAGATTAGATAGATGCGAGGCAGAGGTTCTATCAAAGGAAGATTTCATGGCCGCCTGTTTCAGCAAATTGATTCTGCTATATTGATTTAAGTTGTTTGACTGTTGCTGTTGATCGTGCGGTTGCAAGTTTGGTTGTTGTTGCTGCTGGTAGTGGTGGTCCATCCGACTATCGATTTGATATCGGTATCCGGTTTATCGGTAAAGGTTTGGACAGGTATCGAAGCAATATCGATCCAGTTGGTCGGTCAATTTGGTCAGCGAGATGTTAGTCGATTGATGAAATTTATTTGAGTTGAATGATAACGTTAGCCATTCGGTCGAATAACGGTTCGGTACCGAGTTGTCATTGGTGTGAAGAGTCATCGTCGGTATCGATTTATTGTCGGTATAAAATTTTGGTATATTTATCCAACATTTCAGATGGCAAGCAAATCAAAAAAAATATTTTTTTTAAACATTACAATTGAATAAAAATAGTTACATAGAGAACTATGATTTACAGACAATCGAGTGCGTGTTGAAATCAAATCAACTGGATGAAAATTCACAAAAAAATTAATAAAATAAAATAAATTAAAGTAGTAACTAATACAAATTATATATACTTTTTTCAAATTAATTAATTTAAATAAAAAAAAAATACTCAACTAAACCAACCGACCTATCAGGCGTCAAATCTTTCTGTTTTTTACCCTTCTTGCCCCCTTTCTTGCCCTTCTTCTTGCCCGATTTACTCTTACCTTTGCCCTTTTTGCCTTTATCTTTGTCGATGGCCTATAAATGAATGACGGAGAGAAGGAAAGTATGGAGACAGAAAAAAGAAGAATAGATAGATAGATAGATAGATAGATAGATAGATAGATAGATAGATAGATAGATAGATAGATAGATAGATAGATAGATAGATAGATAGATAGATAGATAGATAGATAGATAGATAGATGGATAGATGGATAGATGGATGGATGGATGGATGGATGGATGGATGGATGGAAAGATGGATAGATGGATGGATGGATGGATAGATGGATGGATCGACGAACAGACAGACAGACAGATAGACAGATGAATGAATGGATGAACAGACAGATTACGATTTTATTTTTTACCTTTTGCAGCCTCTATAGCAAAGAGTGCATTAATTTTTAAATATAAAAGTTTAACGTAATAATAATATCAGCTACTGCTACTACTACTACTTCTTCTACTACTACTACAACTACTACTGCTACTGCTACTACTACTTTAACCATTTAACTACTACTCTTTCTACTACTACAGCAATTACTACTATACTGACCATAATATCAGCTACTGCTACTACTACTACTACTTCTACTACAACTACTACTATTATTACTACTACTACTGCTACTACTACTTTAACCTTTTAACTACTACTCTTTCTACTACTACAGCAATTACTACTACACTGACCATAGTTAATTAATTCAGTTACAACTACTTTGAGAGCCGTCCACACTGAATAAACTAGAAATAAACACAAAAGGTGCTATAAACATTGTAGCTGCAGCTAAAAAAGTAGCAGCAGCTTCATCAACAACGACTTCTACGGCAGCTAAAACGTCTACAATAACCACAACGGCTCCAGCAGTAACAATAGCAGCAAAAAGCAACAGCTGCAGCAATAACAGCAACGACAGCAACTACATCCTCTTACCAATTTCAAATTTTTCAATTCTTGTCTCATTAGCTCATCGACCTGCAGTCGGATTTCGTTCTCCACCTCTTCCCTCTTCTCAACTCGGATGAGATCCGCGTCGTATCTTTGTAGGAAGTTCCAATCCTCATCTTTGTTTACCCACGTATCTTTGTGTGTTTGTGTCCGTGTGTGTGTGTGTGTGTGTCCCCATGTGTATGTGTGTGTGTGTGTCCACATGTGTATGTGTGTCCCCATGTGTATGTGAGTGTCCCCTCTCCATGTGTATGTGTGTTTCTTTATGTATTGAGTGTATGTGTAACATCTTTGTGTGTTTGTGTCCGTGTGTGTGTGTGTGTGTGTCCCCATGTGTATGTGTGTGTGTGTGTCCACATGTGTATGTGTGTCCCCATGTGTATGTGAGTGTCCCCTCTCCAAGTGTATGTGTGTTTCTTTATGTATTGAGTGTATGTGTAAGTGTGTGTGTGTGTGTGTGTGTGTATAAATATCCATGTACCTTTGTGTGTGTATGCATATATGTGTGTCCATGTGTATGTGTGTGTGTCCATGTGTATGTGCGTTTCTTTATGTCTGTGAATGTATGTGTAAGTGTCTGTATACGAGTGTGTGTGTGTATAAATATCGGTGAATTTTCTTTTGTAAGTTAAGCTTGTAGGTTAGAACACGTCTGTATGTGTGTGTATGTATGCGTGTGTATACGTGTCTATAATAATGATATAATAAAAATAATAATAATTATCATTATTAATATTATTATTATTGTCCTAATTACAATTGCAGTCATCGTCACCGACTTGAATATTTGATGGATGTCTCTTCGAGATCTTTCAGGAAATTTGACTCCTTCATTTTCCAGCCTTCGTCCCCAGACTGAATAATAATAATAATAATAATAATAATGATAATAATAATTATAAATAATAATAATTATTATTATTACTATTACTACTGATATAATCATGTGACAAGAACTGACTTCAATGTGACGTAGCTATAATGATTAGTGACGGTGATGATGGTAGAAGCCAAAAAAAAAATAACAAAATAACAAAACGTAAATGACAATAATAATAATAATAATAAGAATAAAAATAATAATAATAATAATAACTATAATAATAACACTAGGAAGAAGAGTGGACAAATTATTGTAAGAAATAACTATCAAATCATTTCGTGAACATCATCGTCGTCGTCATCATCATCAACATCAGTATCGTCATTATCATTATTTTCAGTAGTAGTAGTAGTAGAAGTAGTAGTAGTAGTAGTAGTAGTAGCAGCAGCAGCAGTGTAGTAGTAGTAGTAGTAGTCGTAGTATTTTTAGGGTACAACACCTTACAATACATACATGAAAATTATAAAACTTAGCGTATTTTTTGTACAAAAGTTACCTGAGACCCACTGGTATCATTACCATCACCAGCTTTACTCTTTGGCTATCATCATCATCATCATCATAAAATAACAAATAATAATAATAATATATCCACGGCATGATGATAATGATAACAATACCACCAAACGATAGAGCGAGGCATTAAGTGAGGAATAAAAATTATATTATTATCATTATTATTATTAACATGTTGTTATTATTATTATTATTATTATTATTATTATTGTTGTTGTTGTTGTTGTTATTATTATTGTCATCATCATCTGACCTTTTTTTTCTTCTTTTCATCTTTCTTCTCTTTCTCTTTACCCTTCTTCTTGCTCTTATCTCCCTTCTCTTTCTTCTTATTTTTTTCGTTTTCCTAGAGGGTGGATTTTCACTCACTCACTCACTCACTCACTTACTTACTCACTCACTCACTCAACCAATCAACCAATCAACCAATCAACTAACCAATCAATCAAATATTCAATCAATCGATCGATCGACTAACTGCTTCTTCAAGTTCCTTGAAAACTTCAATGGGATCTTTATCCTTAAATAACTTCAATGATCCGCCCTCAGCTTCCGACGGAAAGTTTGGGAATCTTCCCACGGCATCTCTTGATAAAAAAAATACCAAATCAATCAACTAATCATTCAATCATACAATCAAATAATCAATCAATCAACTAATCATTCAATCGATCAATCAATCGACTATCCATTCAATCGTCTAAATGAACTAATCTTTCAGTCGATCGATCACTCCACTCTACCTATCCAACCAACTATTATATTAACAATAAAAAAACATAAACCCTTACAAACAAACATACAAAACGTATCCAGACAAAACAAAACGAAAAGTAGCAATCCAGACATGCCAAAAAAACCAAACATGCCAAAAAAAACCAAACATACCAAAAAACTAGACATACCAAACCGACCTACACTCAAGAAACCACTGCCTAATTTGTTCAGTTAGGGTTTCTTTCATATCTGGGCCTTCCTGCTCTCTGACCTTTTCCTTAATTATCACAAGGGCCTGTATGAACTCACTCTCGTTCATCTCCTGCACCAGTCGTCTGTCCTCTTCCATCTGGGTCTGAAGGGCCACGGAAGTTTTTGCGGGGTCCGCTGTTTTTGGCAGAGCCTTCGTGGTGGGCAGTGCGTGTGTGTGTTTGCATGTATGTGTTTTTGTGTGTGTTTGCATGTGTGTGCGCGTGATGACGAGAAACGGTGTGAAATAATCACGATAGTGATAGTAATAACGATAACAATAATGATAATAATAACAATAATAATGATGATGATGATGATATATGATGATGAATACGGCGATGATGACTGACCATTCCGAGAAAGACAGCTTCCTCCTCCCGCATTTGCCTCGTCTTCAATCTCTGAGAGAAACCTCTCCACGTCTAATAATGATGGATGTGATGAAGGTAACAACAACAATAATAACAACAACAATAATAACAACAACAATAATAACAACAACAATAATAATAATAAAATAATAATAACAATGATATTGATGATGATGATGATGATGAAACCCACGGAGCTGAACCTTCTGTAAGATGAGGACGGCGTCGAGTTCGTTCATCTCAGACAGGGCGAGGTTTTTCGCTCGCGACATTCTCTCTTTCATCAGTTCTTCCTCCCTTCTCAACTCGCTAACAAAATGATGATGATAATGGTTGTGATGATGATGATAGTGATGATGATGGCGTGACGATGAGAATTATGATGATGATGGTCATCATCATCATCATCATTACATTCATCACCAACAACATCATCGTCATCAACTGCACTATTCTCATCAACAAAATCACCACAGCCGTCATCCTCAACATTAGCAGCGTCATCGCCACAACTACCACTACAATCATCATCATCATCGTCTCGTCGTCATCATCATCGAGACCTCATAAAGTAAGCCCTCTGTCTGCCCTGTCTAGCCCTCTCGTGAATTTGTATAATCTTAAGGGCATCCTCCATGCTCATTACTTGCTCCTCCTTTGTGGCATACATCGATTCCGGTTTAACGACCTGAATAAATGAATGAATGAATGAACAAGTGAATGAACAAGTGAAAGAATAAATGAATGAACAAGTGAATAAAAGAATGAATGGAGGAATGAGTTAATGATGGACGGATGAATGACGTATTACTTGCATGAATAGATGAATGAATGAATAAATAATTAAATCGGTAAATAGCAGCGGCCCGTGACAGAAGCAACAATAATTTTTAAAAATATATAAAAACAACAACAATAATAATAATAAATAGAAATAATAAAAGTGAATTTATTCCGAACAAAAACTCACGCGACAACATACAAATCCAGTGAGAGAGGGAGAGCGGTTAATAATTAACAATTGTAATGTATTTAATAATCTTTATTAATTGAAAAACGAAATCCTACAAACTAGCAACACTAGCATCATCATCATCACTTTCATCATCTTTATCATAATCATTAGAAACATCACCACATCATAATAATCATAAAATCATTCATGGACATTGTCATAATCCAACTCATCATCATCATCACCACCATCATCATCCTTTCCATCATTATCATAACCTTTTCCGGATCTTTTTTAACAAGCCTAGATAAGATCATACCCAGCAGCCTTTCCCTACCCTGCATCACTTTCTGTTTCTCCAACAGGAAATACCTCGGAATGGGAATTTCCAAATCGTGCTATTTATAGTAAAAACAGTTGTTGAAGTAATTAATCACAGTAGTAGTTGTAGTAGCACGAGCTGCAGTATTTATACAAATAAAAAATTAGTGCAGTAGTCATATGCGTAGCAGTAGGTAAAAGTAGTTACTAGACAGTAGTAGTAGTAGTAGTAGTAGTAGTAGTAGTAGTAGTAGTAGTAGTAGTAGTAAAATACAGTAGAAATACTAACAGGCGTTAATTTTAAATTCAACGTTATGTCGTCATAATAGTTGAAATCCGTGGCCTCCAGCGTTACAAGCTCTTGCTTCAACTCAAGAAATCTTCCTGCTGTATTTTCCAGAATAACTCGAAGGAGGCGCCGTTTCTGGGGATGTACAATCTGATCATAGCACTGCTCTAATGTCCTAAATACCTGAATGTACCTTCAGATTAGGGAATAAGGGGGAGGAAAAACCAAATTTATCCCTTATCCAACAATCTCATCAAGTAACTTTTGAAGAGAAAGCACTAATAAAAAATTAGAATATGAAATAGCGTACCTTATATACATTGTAGCAAGTTTGTTGAAAACTGACACCTTGTTCTGAATAGTAGTAAATAGAAACCATTAGTGCATAATTATCGCTCGAGAACGAAAATTGAAGTAATTTATAGATAACAAATGGTTTTATTGACGGATAGTTGGAATTTTTTTTATTTAATTATGGAGAAATAGAATAATAATTCTTCAATTATGAATAAATAAATGAATGAATGAAATTATTTGAAGTCACATACGTTATCTGGAGGAGCATCCTTGAATGGTTTCTCATAAGTCACAATGGAACTGAGAGTCATCTGTGCCTCTAGCCATTTCTTGTTGTAATAACTGAGATAAAATGGCAAATAGTGGTTCACATTCAATAAATATAATTAAATTACACCATATTTGCAATTTTACTCTTTTTTATTAATTTAAAATTTAACTACTTAAAATTTTTAAAACAAGCATACATCTACAATGATGCATACAATACAAATTACAAAAAAACGAATTTAATTTAGTTTTTATTTTTAGTAAGCTCGTCTTTGCACACAATAAAAAATCAACAAGAAAATCTATCAAACTAAATCGAACCTTTGTGACATGACTTCGTTTTGCTAAAATTAGAAACAGGAACCGTAAAATTTGAAAATAATCACAATTTATCCGTTCAAAATAAACTCTTTCATATTAAAATCAAGCAAATTGTTTCAAGACAAAAACGTCGCCATAGCAACAGTTGCACTTTAAAAAGTGACGGGCGCGCAATAACGAGAATTAACTTGTCGAATCCTGACGAAACCGGTTAAAATACCGAGTAAATTATATATAAATATATATATATCATGTATATGCCATAGTTTGCACAAATTAAATCTAATGACAAAAAACAGGTGAATATATATGTTTAAAAAACAAAATATACATGTGCGTACACATGGAGACAGATTTACAAGAGAAATAAAACTAAATGAAATTTCAAATGAGTTGGGTGATTTTAATCAGATAGTTCCAATTTGAAGTGCATAATTTCGCCATCGCCATAGAGGGCATTTTTGGTGCCTTCCTTGATAACTACATCATTGGTTATTGGATCGATAACTGCCCTCTGATTGGTCCAATATGCCAGGGGCGGTATCACGTGGCGACCACTCTTGCGAGAGACAGGTAAGCCGCCAACTGTGATTGGTGCTGAAAAATAAATTGGTTATGGCGAACATTATATCAATCAATCAATTAATCAATTAATTAATTAATTAATTAATTAATCAATCAATCGATCGATCGATCAATAAATCCCACTCACATTCAGGAGTGCCCCTCCCATCTGACATGCCAACAAAATTTTTCTTCTTTTTACAACTAAAATTACTACTATTAATTATATTACTTGTTGTACTATTCCTTGGCTCCGTATTTCTTCTGCTATTTAATTCTGTCAGGTAAATTTGATTAGTCAAAAATTTAGTTGCTCTTGGTGTGGCGAATCTGTTTTCTAAAAGTGAACTTTCATATCGATGTTTCGATTTTCTGTTGGGCGTTTTAAACATTACATTTTCGTTATTGTCACCACAACCATCAACTTCAAGAACATCACCAGTGGTGCAACTACTACTACTGCAGCTGTTGTTGTTGTTAATGTTGTTGTTGTTGCTCTTACTATTAAAACTGTTGTTAATACTAGTTTTATTGTTGTTAGGTTTAGGTGTGGTTTGTTGTTGTTGTCGTTTTGGTTGATGTTGTTGTTGATGTTGTTGTTGTTGTGGTTGATGTTGTTGTTGATGATGTTGTTGTGGTTGATGACCTGTAGCTAATTTTCTTGACCTCAACCTCGTTTCAATCAGTGATGTGTTGGTATTATTATCACCATTACAACTGCTGTTGTTGTAACTCATCCTCTTGTTGAAGTTATTATTATTGTTGTTGTTGTTGTAACTTACTCTTTCGCTGATGTTACTACAATCATTGTTGTCGTTGTTGTTGTAACTCATTCTTTTGTTGACATTATTGATTTTGCTTACATCCCAACGGATTTTTCTGACTCTGTCCACAGAACTAACATTAACGTCGTCATCGGTAATGATGTGATGATGTAGCACTACATTCTCAGTATTGTTAAAACTATCGTTGCAATTATCATTATTATTATTGCTATTATTGTTATTATTATTGCTATTATTAGAATTATTATTATTGTTGCTGTTGTGACTGTTGTTGCGATCAGAGTCATCATACTGAACTACTAAGCTATCAGTGGCAGATGCGAATGATGATGAGGAAGACGACGACGACGATGGTGGTGGTGGTGATGATGATGATGGTAATGGCTTTACTCGAACGAATGGGGATGAAAACTGGGGAGGTGGTGGCAAAATAACACCATCAAAGTCATTGTTAATGTTATTAATGTTATTGTCATTATTATTATTGTTATTATTATTATTGTTGTTGTTGTTATTTCCACCACCATTATCGAGTCTAATCTTTCTTCTGGCTCTTGGAAATCTCACAGACGACGACGATGATGATGATGGCAGTAATGATGACGATGATGATACTTCTGAAAACGTTACTAATGATGATGATGATGATGACGTAATCAGTATTGATGATGATGACGTAATCAGTGTTGATGATGCTGATGATGACGTAGTCAGTGTTGATGATGATGGCAATAGTAAAGAAGATGATGATGACGATGATGATAAAAGATGCTTATGAGACAGTTGTTCAGCTGAATGCATAGATAGTGATACTTGAAATGATGATGATGATGATGTTGTTATAGCTGCTGATGATGATGATGATGATATACAAGAAGATAATGATGATATACAAGATGATAATGATGATGATGTCAGTAAAGAGCTTGTCTTAGTTTTTACATTCTCTGCCAGTGACGACGACGATGGCGTCACAGATGATGATGACGTCACAGATGACGATGACGTCACAGATGATGATGATGATGACGAAAGTGTTGAAAATTTTCTCAATTTGGGTGGCACTGATGACGACGATAAGGATGACATCATTAATGTTGCTGATGATGATGCCGTCGTCGGTGGTGGCAATGATGTTGTTGTGGTTGTGGCTTCTACTGCTGCTTTTGCCGCGGCTAATGACAAAGTTTTCGAACAGGCATCAAAAGTACCATTCAGTGATAAATTCTTCCGACAATGTTTTTTATTATTAATATTATTAAGATTATTATTATTAATATTATTATTATTATAATTATTATAATTATTGTCCGCAAATGGTGACGGAGGAGGGATCAGCTGCAAAAAAAAACAATAACAATAACAATAATAATAATAGTAATAATAATAAATCATCATCATCATCATCATCATCATCATCGTAACTAACATAAAAGCCATCCTTGTATGTATTTTCTGAGTCAAATTCATCATCATCATCGAGTGTGATATTGTGGCAGATAAGTTTGCCATTGTTAGTTATATTATTATTATTTTTAGTAGTAGTAGTAGCAGCAGAAGTAGTAGTAGTATTGCTGCTATTGTTCATATTATTATCATTATAATCATTAGTAGCAGCAGCTCTTGAAATTGATGATAACAATAGTTTTGATAATGACGAAAATGATAAAGGTGATGATGTTGATGTTGTTGTGTGTAAACTAGAAACATCAACGTTGATACAATTTTCTGGCCTTAAAAGAAGTGTTTCAATCTGCATACAAATGTATGTATGTATGTTTGTTTGTATATATGTGTGTGTATGTGTGTGTGTGTGTGTGTGTGTGTGTGTACGTATGTATGTATGTATGTAAGTATGTATGTAAGTAAGTATGTATGTATGTATGTATGTATGTATGTATGTATGTATGTATGTATGTATGTACAGTCCTAAAAGTCACTTGTACAACATTACGCTCTCTCAAAAACGCTCAATACGTCTTATCTTTAATACTAATCCTTTTGCCCATACTAAACCCTTTTTTGTAAATAACAATTAAGGTTTATATATTATTATTTCACAGCCATACTTGTTTTCAAATTTATTAATAAACTTCTTCCTACTCCTCTAGACCACCTTTACACGACAAGCAATTCTATTCTATCTGCCCATACAAGACACACCCAATTCTTTTACACACAAAAAACCCGTATTAAATTATTTTCATCAAGTATTAAACTTACTGGACCAAAAATTTGGGCTGAACTGCTTCCTCCTCAGTTACATGAAATCAAAAGCCTACAACTCTTTAAGAGGAAGCTATGTAACTTTTTAACAAACTTAGATCCCGACACCACCATCTAGTTATCTGGGAAAGCATGTTCATGTAAGCATTGTGTGTGTCTAAGTGTGTGCGAATGTGGTTGCTTGTGTGAGTGTGTGTGAATGAGTGCTGTGCTTGTGTGAGTGTGTGTGAATGAACAGGTTTGTGTTTACGTGAGTGTTTTTGTTCGCGTGAGTGAGTGTATGTGCTTCTGGCGTGGTATTTCTATAAGATAAGATTCAAAATTTAGAAGTTAGTCAAAGTGTTATTATATTTTAAACTTCGAAACAATTTTGAAGTATTAGAATTACTCTTTGAAATATCTATAACCTACATTATATTGTGTTTGGGTATATTGAACTTTTTTTTTTTTTTAAATTATGTTTTATATTTCGGAACAGTTTTGAAATATTAGAATTACTCTTTATAATGTGTTTGGGTACCTTGAATTCTTTTATTTGTTTAAAGCTGCTCATATATAATTATTACAAATTGACACTGGTGATCAGTACAAGAAGTCCAGATTTCTTTTTCGATTTCCAGATCATTTCCTTTCATTGATTTCATTTTTCTGATTTCATTGTTTGATTTGATGAAATAAAAAAATGTCAAATGTCAAATGTCAAATGTCAAATGTCAAATGTATGTATGTATGTATGTATGTATGTATGTATGTATGTATGTATGTATGTATGTATGTATGTATGTATGTATGTATTATTATTATTATATGATCATTTATATAGCGCCTATTAAAAACATTCTCATAGGCGCTTTACAACTATGGCAATTTTCTACAATGAAAAAAGATATGTCTTCAGTTGACTCTTGAACTGGGGAAGTGTCAGACCAGACCGGCGCAAAAAATATGGAAGTTCATTCCAATGCCTTGGTCCATAAACTGCAAAACTACGTGATGCAATTTTTGATTTAGTAACCGGGACCACTAACAAGTTTCCCCGATCTGATCGTAGGCCAGTTTTTAAAAAAATCGATGATCTGTCAATCAACATTTCGGACAGATATTGCGGAGCCAATCCGTTTAAGCATCTATAAACCAAAACACAGACTTTAAAAATAATTCTTTTGCTGACCGGCAACCAATGCAATTCCGACAGAATTGGGCTAATATGTTCAACACGACTAGCACCAACAACAATTCTTGCATCTCTATTCTGAACCATCTGCAACTTAGCAATCTCATGTTTCTAAACACCATAAAACAAACTATTACAATAGTCCAATCTAGAATGTATGAACGAATGAATCAGAGTAACCATGGTTGATCTGTTCAAACTCTTTTTTATTCGATACAATTGCCGCAATTGAAATGAACAAGATTTTACCAAAACCTTTATATGTTCACCCATACATAGATTTTTATCTATTTTAAAACCCAAAACTGTAGCCATTTTTCCAAAATCAATAATCATGTCAATTATTTTCACAAAATCAACGTTAATCCTAGAGGTTTGCTGCCAAGTTCCAACTGGTACCAGCTGAGTTTTTCCCAATTCAATTTTATACCATTCAAACCCATCCACCCATCCAGTGCACGACAATGTATACATACATACATACATACATGTATGTATGTATGTATGTATGTATGTATGTATGTATGTATGTATGTATGTATGTATGTATGTATGTATGTATGTATGTATGTATGTATAACAATGTATATAAGTGTATAACAATGTATTTATTATTTAATCAATTTTAATAATGATAATAATAATAATAATAATAATAATAATACCCGTCGTTTTTTGATTGAAGGTTGAGAATGAATGCTTCTGCTATTGTAATTATTTTTACTATTATTATTCTCATTTCTGCCATTGACGTGGGGACGACAGATAATGACATTGTTGTTGTTGTAGTTGTTGATGTTTTTGGCCTGATTAATGTTAGTAGAAGTAGTAGTAGTAGTAGTAGTAGTAGTAGTAGTAGTAGTAGTAGTAGTAGTAGTAGTAGTAGTAGTAGTACTGATGCCAGTGAAACTGTCGTTTGGGTTTCTTCTAATGGTATTGCTGATGTTGATGCAGCTGCTACTGCAGCTGCTGTTGCTGCCACTGACGCAAGTATCGCTGCTGTCGTCGTCGTCATCGTCGTCTTCATCATCGTCTCTGTAGACATCAAATGTTTCATCTAGATCATGCTTATTTTTTCTTTTTAATCTTTTGAAAAGAACTCTACTATTATTATTATTATTATTGTTGTTGTTGTAGTTATTGTTGTTGAAGTCAGTTACAATGATGATGTCCTCATTTCTATTTTTATCAAAACCAGTGGGAGGAGTCATGTTGATAGTGCTGTTAGGACAGTTGCCGACGAGATCTGCCTGAACCGCTGCGGTTCCGTCGTTTCTGCTACTATATCTGATGACGTCATTTAACATTTGAACATCGTCATCAACAACTGAATTATTATTATTATTATTATTGCTACCATCATCGTCGTCGTCACCATCCGGTTCGACATCATCGAGATACATTCCAATAGTCACATTTTTTTGTTTTGACATTGCAGTTGATGATGATGATGATCCTTGAAGTGATGATGATGATGATGATGATGATAAGGTTAGTCTGGATGATGATAACGATGATGTTGATTTTGGCCCCATGGCTATCTCATTTCTAGCTTGGAAATTTAGCTAGGAAAAAAATTATAAAAATTAAAGTTGAATAAAATTATTAAAAATCAAGTAGTCAATCAATTAATTAATCAATCAATCAATCAATTAACTAGATGAAGAATTGATTTAATTTACATTTTCAAGGACGACTTTTGCATATTTAGCCCTGACATCTGACTTAGACCCAACAAAGAATATTTTGTCATCCTGCGAAAGAAAGAAAAAATAATAAATAAACATAATAATAATAATAATAATAATAAACGAAATGACCAACTTTTGTTCGTCGGAACAGTTCTTTAAAAGATTTCCTGATGTCTTTATGTTTACGAGTCAGCATGTTACTAGAATTGCATTTTTCATTCTGGGAAAAAATTAATGTTTTCAAAAATTATTAAAAGAAATAATGATTCATATAATTAAAAATAATAATGGTAATAATATCAATATTATTATAACCCTAACTTCAACCTAACTAAGGCTAGTAAAAAAATATGATTTTGTTGAAACCTTTCTTTACACAACCATTCATTAAGTTAAGATTCATTAATTTAATATTAGATTGATTAGTATTCTTTTAGTAACTAATTAGTAATTAGGCAGGATATGATCAGGTTTAAGAAACTGTTTAGTGTTCAGGTTAAAGTTAAAGCTCTTTTAAAAGCATGTGTAATTCTAATTATTGTGAAATGAGGTAAGGACAAGGATGTGCAATTAGAATAGAAACGTTTGGCATATTTGGTTGGGGTTAATTTACATTTATAATTCCATATTAAAAAATAAATAAATGATAATTAATAATAAATAAATGTGGTTTAGACATGTGCAATTAATTAGAACAGAAAAGTTTTGCAAATTTGTAGTTAATTGACTTATTAATAGTAAATTAATTAATTAATTAATTAATTAAGTAGTTAATGTATTTTATTAATTAAAAAAATTAATGTTAAGTTGCTAAGCTAACAAGTTCCACAAATAGCTGGTCAAATGAATTTTTATTTTTTACGTTTTCTTCCATCACGATTAAGTCTAATTTCAATTTTTAATGAATTTTTTAAAAATCCATAACAACAAATTATTATTTTGATAATTAGGAACTTGAAAAATGACAATGTAGGAACCGAAACTAGAAAAAATTACAAAATTGGCGCTAAGTTTAATTTTAAATTAAAAGCAAAACATTTTAATCTCGTAGCGCTGAATATCACAAATTTTAACTAAATTTGTTGATAATTGAAATAAACATCTACATGTTTCGAAATTAGCTCAGTCGGCAAAAGCGCTATATCTAGCGCTGTTATAACTCTATAAAGTGGTTCGAACACTGTCTATCCGATTATTATCATGATTCGTGCATGAATGATGCGGTGCATGCATGCACGTACCTGTATACAAAATATGTGTATGTACGTCGTTTGGTGTTTTGGTGTGTGTGTGTGTGTGTGTGTGTGTGTGTGTGTGTGTGTGTGTGTGGTGTGTGTGTATGGTGAGTGTGTGTTTTTCGGATCGTTTGTGGCACAAAAGTTTAACTATACGTACAAAGTAATAAGCTAGCAGTAAACATCGAGAAACACTTAACATCGTGACGTCACATAACGTCATTAAGGCCTTTTATTCTCGTTAACTGAAATTAACTGTCAGTTGCTGTTGTTGTTGAACTCTTGCTTTTTCATCGTTATCTCACCAATTCACTCACCTAATCATTATCTCGTCACTCAATTACTTTGTTAAACAATCTACTTTTGTTATTTCAACTACTCCTTTATTTTTACCTGAACTGTTTCTTGTTATTGTTCTTCCAACGTGAATGCTCTGTTGCTTACTTTTTTTTCTCAATTATACTTTCGTCAGTTCTTTCTGATGTTCGTATGTCCTGTTCTCCAAATGTTTATGACTGGTTGTTCGTTCGTTCGTTCTTTTACTGAAATGTTTGCTCTTTCATTTAGTGTTAGTTCCATTAGCCTCGATTCTTAAGTGTGTGAAATAATGGATGAATGCACGTTTGACTGGAAGGATGAAATGAAGGCTGAAGTAATTGTTGAATGAACGAATGAATGAACAAACGAATAAATGAATGAATGAATTCATATAATTAATTAACTAAATAATCGCTAAATGAACGTCAGTCAGTCAAATCAAAATACCTGGCTGACCAAAACTTAAGGAAAGAATATCACAAATAATGCTTGTGTGTGTGTGCTTGTTTGTTTGTGTGTGCGTGTGAGTGTGTGTGTGTATGTGTGTGTGTATGTGTGGATGTATGTGTGGATGTAGGTGTGGATGTGTGTGTTATTAAAATGTGCACAACTGTGTAAGTGCGTCGTGGGTCAGATGCCGTCCACAGTTAGGTAACAATTTTCAAAACCCCCTCCACTCCCTAACAAAAACTTCAACTACTTTTTCTAATTTAAGTCCACTTTTCACTGAAAAAAGGAAATACCCCAATTATCAGTATCCCATTTATCGGATGCTAATGTCAACCTAACTTAATTACTACTCTGCCTAGTCCGACAATGTACATGCATGTGACCATATTTAGTTATATATACATATACTCTCTCTTTTTTCTTTAAATCTTTCTTTCTATTTCTACCTTTCTTTCTTTCTCTCTCTTTCTCTTTCTTTTTTCTCTCTCTCTAAATATTTTTATAGACCTAGAAAGCTGGATGCTATTAGCTGATAAATTATTGTTTGTTAGAAGCTTCTTGTTTCACAAGCACATAAGAGAGAGGGAGAGAGAGAGAGAGAGAGAAAGAGAGAGGGAGAGAGAGAAAGATGGAGAAAGAGAGAGAGAAAAGTGTTTGTGCGTGCATGAGTTGAGTTCATTAGAAAATGTAAAGTCAGTTGGTTTGGTTCGTTTGTTTTTGAATTCGCTCATTTTCTTCAAACTACGGACTAGTTTTCCAGTTCTGAGAGGAAAGGCTAGCAATTTCTAGATGATGATGGTGATACATACATTCATACATACATATGTACATACATACATACATACATACATACATACATACATACATACATACATACATACATACATACATACATACATACATACATACATACATACATACATACATACATACATACATACATATATACATACATACATACAAACAAACATACAAACAAACATGAAAACACTCGCTCGCACTCACCGCACATTTGTATTTAAATGAAACTTCATTTCAATTTTTCTTCTTTCGTTTTAAATTTAAAATGTTTTTCGGTATGTTGAGATTATGAATTAGGAAGCAAGCAGCTAAGCGGATGAAACCCATCTACCATCATCACCATCACCATTATTATTATTATTATTATTATTATTTTCATCGTCGTCTAGATTTTTATATAAATTTTATAGAGATTTTACGCAGTGCTATAAAACAGTAAAACACAAATTAATATAACAACAACAACAAACAAAACAACAACAACAACAATAATAACAACAACAACAATAACAATAATAATAAATTAGTGTCATCGTCGTCGTCATTTTACATAACCATTTTATCGCAACAACTTAACAATTTCAACAACGACAGAATCATCATTAAAGCATTTGAATGAATAACATCATCACATCAGCAACAACATCGCCATAACAACAGCAACAACATCTTCTTAACATCATCATCTTCACCACCACCATCATAACAACAACAACAACAGCAACAATACAAAAACAACAAAATCAAAGCAAAATGTCGGTCGAACTAGTTTCAATAAAAGCCGTAGAAGAATATCAAACGACAACAACAACATCGGCAACAACAAAAGCAGACTCAGATAACGATGACGTAACACAACAACAACATCATCATCATCATCAACAACAACAACAACAACAAACATCATCACCATCACCAACAACAACTCAAACAGAATCATTATCAGCATCACTACCGCTACCAATGACGACAACAAACTCATCACGTGACAAGCAACAACGACAGTCAACATCGCCTACGTCATCCGCCACGGAGAAAAACCGGAAAAAGTTATCCGTGCCGTTTATCGAAGACCGTAAAAGATCTATGGCATGCCAGCAGGGATCTTACAATAGGGTTGTGCTGTGTGCTGTGGATCCCAGCAACCATTCCAGGGATGCGTTCGAGTGTTAGAGATGTGCTGTCCGTAGTGATGTGCAGTTCTTAGTGATGTGCAGTTTTACGAGATGTACTGCTTTAAGAGATGTGCCGTTTTTAGTGATGTGCTGACGTTGGCTTTGAACACCGACAGACATTTTAGAGATTGGTTTGAAATTTGGTTGTTAGTTTTTAGTGAAGTTGGGTTTTTTGGTATGTGATGTGATGTGTTTTTTCGCCGATGAATTAATGAATAAATGAATGAATAAATGAATTATTAAATGAATGAATGATTGAGTGAACGAATGAATGAACGAACGAACGAATGGTTTTATTTTATTACAGAGCAGCACCAATTATGTACTTATTTCTATAATTGATGTCCGTTTGTTTAAGATGAAAAGATACAAAAAAAAATTTGCCTGTAAGAATGTATGTCTGTGTAGTCTAGTGTATTGTATATGTATGTATGTATGTATGTATGTGTGTGTGTGTGTTAGTGTGTGTGTGTGTTAGTCTGTGTGTGAACTGCTTTAATTCAACCAGGGTATCTAAAAAATATATGGAAAAACGAAGACATGGTTATTATAGCCTACTGCCCTGAGACTCCTAACTTACCTTCCTTCTCCCTTAAAAGTTGGATTGTTTTTGATGATAAAATAAGGCTAAAATTAATTATCTAAAATTCAAATTAATGGCGTGATGTCAATTTTAGAAGAAGTCTGATCAAATATGTTTAAATAATTGTATCTGTTAAATGAATCGGATCTATGTGGCGTTATGAGTCATTCATTTTCTTCTTCCTATAATTATTATGATTATTGTTATTATTATGATTATTAATATTATTATGATTATTATTATTATTACTACTACTACTACTACTACTACTACTACTACTACTACTACTACTACTACTACTACTACTACTACTACTATTACTATTATTATTATTTGTTTAGTTGTTGTTGTTATAAAATCACTAAATTAGTGAATTTATTTTTAATTAGTAATCCAAAAAAATATTTTTTCTTAAAATATTCGCCAGATGGCTTGGCTCCACCGGTTGAAAAGTGGAAGGAAATTTTGGATGAAACTAACAAAAGGACCAAAATTTTGGAAGAAGATTACGAAGCTACGTGTATCGAGAAGAAGGTGATGCAGACGTGTCTGTCTGTGTGTTTGTGCGTGTAACTGTTTGTATTTGTGTGTGTGTTGTGTATGTGTGTGTGTGTGTGATTGTCTGTGTGTGTGTTTGTAAATTTTTGATAAATATTTCTACGCTAATTATTTTGAAAGGTGATGAAAGATGTTCATTATGATGTGATCATTTTTATTATCACACAATTTCCCTTCCTATCTCTTACTTTCTCCCTCTCTCTCTTTCTCTCTCTCTCTCTTTCCTATTTTCTCTCTCTCTTTCCTTTCACTGATTCTCTCCTCAAACACTTTCCAGTTAATCTACATGATCCGTGGCGAATCGTACAAGAACCCTGGCGAAGGGATATGCCAGATAGCGGAAGAAGATAAAGCGGATATGATCGTGATGGGGACGAGAGGGATGGGCGCTTTCAAGAGGTTCTTTCTCGGCAGCGTCAGTGAATACGTCGTAAGGCACGCGAAAATTCCTTGCGTTGTTGTTCCGGCTTGAATTGGGATGCTGGCTTTGGGAATGATTGAATATGGATACTAGTCCGAATAAGGATGTTGTATTTGACGGAAGGAGATTGTGCTCGTTGTGCTAACATGTATGTGAATTTGTGTGGATGTAGTTCTTCATTTTTGTGTGACTATGTTTGCCTGCGTGTGTGTGTAAGAGTGCGTGTGTGTGGTACGTGTGTGTGTGTGTATGCTTAAATAAACCAATTTTTCATATTTTGGAATGTGTGTGTATGTTGTTGTTGTTGTTGTTGTTGTTGTGTTAGTGGGTTTATGTGCGTGACTATTTGACATGAATATCTATCATTAAAATGAACAATTGTGAAGAATGCAAATAAACAAGCATGTTGTATGCTCACATACGTACGTGAATGTGTGTTTGAGTATGTGTGTGTGATTGTGTGTATGTGTAGTACTAAAAATATATACATATATGTGTGTAGCTTACAATAATCTCTAGTATACGTTGTTATAATAATAATATATAATAATAATAATAAGAAGAAGAAGAAGAAGAAGAAAGAAAAATTAAGATGATGACGACGACGATGATGATGATTATTTGGTGACACTTTAATTTCAAAATGCGCACATACACGCTTCATTATTGTTATTCGGTTATATCGTGTCAAGTCAATCATATTTAACAATTATTTTAATAAAAATAATTAAATAATAATAACAATAATCTACGTAATGATATTCGAACAATTTGAACTTTATTATGAAAAGCGAAAGATTTATTCTGTTATTGAGATTATTATTTACAGATGTTAGCCCAAAAATTACCATCATAATCAATAAATAACCGTTAATAATAATAAATTTTACGAATTGACATCATTAATAAAATAACTGTGTGTATGAATAATAAAATATATATGTGTTTGTGTATGTGTGTATGTGCGTGTGCTTGTGTGTGTCTTCGTGTGTGTGTGTGTGCGTGCGTGTGTCTGTGCGTATTCATCCGTAAACAGTTCGTAGCAAAGCAAGTCTGAACCGCTTCTGAGCAGAACTGTTAAGTAATTAACATAAATACAAACACAGACACACACACACACAAACATATACACATATATGGACACAAATACACACACACACCATCTTAGTTCATTGTTCGGTGTTTTAGCCAGTCTATTAAAGCAAAGACCAAATAGAACTAGATCATTATAATTTTGCTTGGTTTGCTTGAATTTGAAATTAAATCAATGTGAAGCATTCGTTGGTCCTAGTTCTTTTTCAAATAAAAGGCACCTTTGATTTGTTGTTTGGCTTGACGTAATTATTTCTAATTCTCTTTTACTTCTATTGTTATTTTGTTATGACTGCAGCTACTGTAGCTATTAGCGCTGCCATCACTACCACCATTAGTTATACTACTGCAGTTACTGCTTCTACTACTACTGCCTTTGCTGCTGCTGCTGCCACTACCACTACTACTGCAACTACTTCTACATGACTAGTTCTACAGTACTACTACTAAACTGCTTAATGATAACTTTCTTAAGTAATATTAAGTCTGAATACATACAATTATAAATCTATAAACAAATAATTATATATATATAATTATATATATATATATATATATATATATATTACATAAACATGTATGTTATATTTTTTATCATTTTATATTCATTCATCTATTTTATTCTTACCTCAATATGCTAGTAAAATAGAACAGCTAACAATGTAGAAACATGCTGTGTGCGTGCGTGCGTGCGTTCGCGTGTGTTTGTGTATGTACGTATATGTGTGTGTGTGTGTCAATGGGTGTGTGTATGTGTAGATCTGTTTGTATGTTCATAAGGCGACAATTGAATGAAGGAAAGAATTAATAATATAATTAACTGAAAGAAGGTCTAGCACGGACACAAAACACATACATAAATATATATACATATATATAATTATGTATGTATATACACATATATATATACATACACATACATACATACGTACACAGTAATACACACAAATAGCCAACAATACCCAAACGTACGTATCGATTGTGAATCTTCGATTTAAAATCAAACAAGTGAGGCCTTGCGTGGTGTCATATTATTATTATTAATACAAATTCATACTTGCAGTAGTAGAGTTCGTGTATTTTATACCGAGGAAAATGTTCTGTTGATATTTTATTGGTGGAGTATTTGTATTAATTTTACGTATTTTTTGCAGCTACTTTTTGCGCTGTTAAAATAGGCTTATTTTTGTGTAGGTATTTTTGGTAGTTACGGTTTTTTAGTGGTTTCAGGCTGTATTTCTATTGGATTTTTGGGATATTTACTTACTAAATAGTTATGATTTTGTATTTGTAGACATAGTACTACAATAATTTTACTATATTTTATTCAAATTTTATAAAAATATTTAATATTGGCCTGAATGTTTAGTATAATTAATTAATAAATTTTTTTATTTTCATAGATATTTATATGCTATTGCAAGATTACAGATTTTTACATGCTAGGCCAAAGAAAGTTGACAATAGATTAAAATTTTTTTGAAAGGCTCTCAAAAAGGTAGCAGGTTTTTTCATTAATTTTTAATAAAAAATTTTTCCCTAATTTTACTACAATAATATAAATAATAATAACAACAAGCATAATAATAATAATAATAACAGCAAACTTCGTCGAATCAGAAGGAATAATAAAAATACTTCAACATCAACTGCAACAACAACAACAACTGCAACAAAACTCCAGAATGTCAGACCGCAACAACAACAGCCAAATAAAAACGAACGAAAGCTCCGACAAACTCGGCGATATAAAGTCGGTAAAAAAGCTGTCGGTACCTTATATCGAAGATAGGAGGAGATCGGCCTCCAGCATCGGTCATCACGGACGCACGGTTCTTTGCGCTGTCGATCCTAGCGGCCACTCTAGAGATGCTTTCGACTGTTGGTTGAATCAATCTTTAAACATGATTTGAGAGAGAGAAAGAGAGAGACGGACAGAGAGAGAGAGAGAGGGAGAGAGAGAGAGAGAGAGAGAAAGAGAGAGAGAGAGAGAGAGAGAGAGAGAGAGAGGTTTAGAAAAGTTATAATAATAATAATAAATTCAAAATTTATTATAATGACCAGGGTATTTGAAGAACATTTGGAGGAGTGATGACCTCGTTGTAGTTGCCTACTGTCCGGAAACTCCAAGTCTACCGTCCTTGACATTCAAAAGTAGGGCACACACACACGCACACGCACGCACACACACAGACACACACACAAACACACACATACACCATGCCTGATCATTAGAGTTAAATAAAATGGCAATAGATTGACCGGTAGATTTCAGTGTATGATTGTAAGGATTATCTATGCGTTCGAAACGTGATCACTTTGTTATCAGTAGCAGTCAGGGGCTAATGATGATAATAAAATAAAATTAAATATTTTTGTTTATTTTATTAGCACTTTCTACCATTTAACAATGAATTCTCTTTATATATATATAATTCAATTGCAGTTGTTATTACCATTGCCAGTTGTTAGTGCATTCATAAACAATTTTTAACTGAAACACGCATGCAATCAATTCGTTTTCAACAAATGTAAGGTGGCATATGTGCACCAACCAGTTCACAATTATCAAATTTATTATTATATTTTTTAGAGATTTGACTGAAGACTCATTGAGATAAAAGTTAATTAACTAGAATTCTATTCAAGCACACATTAAGTAATCATTAACACCCAGACGTACTTTTTAATGAATATTAAATTGAATTTTACAACTATAGAAGTAGTTAAATTATAAATGCGTTTTCTGTTGAAAACTAAATAATAATTAACAACTTTAATAATAGTAATATAATTATTATTCAAATAATTATCAATAATTATCGACAACACTATTGCAAACCTAACTACAGAAGGTTTGGCGCCCCCAACCGAGAAGTGGAAGGAAATATTGGACGACACGAACACGAAAACCAGACAGCTGGAAGAAGATTATGAATATCTTTGTAGAGAGAAGAAGGTGGGTCTAGTTTTTTTTATCCATAAAATGAGGCGCTAAGTAGTCAGTGTTTTGATTTATATAGCGCTGTTTTTGCTTTCTCGCTTTCTCTCTCCCTCGTTTTCACAAATTGTTAATGATGTTAATGCCACTTCATTCAACTTTACAATATTTGCGTTTACAAAGGAAATGCTGAAAAATAATAAAGAAGACTTAACATGAACAAGGAAAATGTTTAGACAAGTAGCAAAATAAAACATTTTAAAGAAAATTTCAACGATTTAACTATTAAATCTAATAAAATCATAATATAATATTTTACTAATAATTTCACATCACACACACACACATCATACTATACCACACCAGCTCGTTTACAAGATAACAGGAGAATCCTTTAAAAACCCTGGAGAGGGCATTTGTAAGATAGCCGAAGACGAAAAGGTGCACATGATCGTGATGGGAAGCAGAGGAATGGGTGGGCTTAAGAGATTCCTTCTCGGAAGTGTCAGCGAGTATGTCGTCCGAAATTCCAGGATTCCGTGCATTGTCATTCCAGGTTAAGAAGACGAAAAATGGGACGAACGTGGAACAAATTTGGGGCATAATTTATGTAATTTAGGGGCGAAGTTTGAGGATAATATTGGGTAAAATTTGGGTGAAGATGGTTTCGTGGTCAAATTTTAGATGTTTTTGAAGATAATTTCTAGCGTGGCTTGATGTTTTGATGCGTTTTATGAGTCCTGCGATACTATAACATTTATACTTTTTTAGATTGTGTGATGTTTTTTTAAGAATTTTGATAACAATTATTTAACAAATTTTTCGATTTTTATATTAAAACGTGCCTCGCTATTTAAGACTATTATTTAATTGTATCTGATTTACATATCTGCTGATTTATTGATTGATTTTTATACTTGTCGTTTAATACGGTAGGTAAAAATGTTAGTATATATATATACATATATATATATATATATATATATGTGTGTGTGTGTGCGTGTGTGTGTATAAGTACGTATGTATTTACGTATATGTGTGTGCATGTATATATATATACAATTTAGTTAACGAATAAACCAAAAAATATGTTTGATCTGCAGTTTTTTTTTCATTTTGAAAAATATAATTGAAAAAATTACATAATAGATAGTGGTCTATGTTAAATAATATAATTACTAAGGTTCAATAAATAATACATTGTTGTCCATATGCAAACATACATGTATAAATAAGTAGATGGAAATATGTTTGTATTGTGTATGTATGTATGTATGTATGTATGCATGGTATATGTGTTTAAATATAACAAAATAATAAGCTTATATACATGTGTGTGTGTTTAAGTGTGTGTTAGCAATAAGTAGCAATAATCGATATAACACAATGCAATGCAACATGTAGCGAAAAATTCATGACGTGTGAATATCGGGAAGAAAAAAGTTTATCTGTGAAATAAATAATTAATACAAATAAGAATAATTACAATACTATAAAATAATTTTTGCTATTATCAAATAAAATAAAGAAAAATAATTTCTTTAATTGAAGCGTACACGCCATATTGGTCTGATAAACCAGATAGATAAATCAATAGGTACGTATATTTTTTATTAAAAAAAAAAGTCAAAAAATAATTAATGTAGATTGACATACCATGATTGACGAAGAAAAAAACAAAATAATAATTAGAGAAAAGAAGAAAAGAAGAGAGAGAGAGAGAGGGGAGAAGAGAAAGAGTCGCAATGGCGCTCTTAAATAAGATAACTCGTCGAAAGTTCGTAACAAAACAACTCACAACATCGATTTAATAAACTTGGATTTACCTTCAGCCCCATTAGCACTGCTTTTACTATTATTACCTATGGCCTTTGTTAGGGCCGATACAATCTTGTCAATCTCACATAATGGAATGGTTTTGTTTATGGGTAAGTATATCACATGGTCTATTATATATTGAGCTTCGGATGATGATGACGAAAACGTTGATGATGATGATGATGGGGATGATAATAATGACGTTGAAGATGATGATGAAGATGGTGAAGATGATGATGGTGAACATGGTGAAGATGATGATGTTGAAGATGGTAAAAATGATGATGTTGAAGATGGTGAAGATGATGATGTTGAAGATGGTGAAGATGATGGTGTTGAAGATGATGATGATGCAGACGACGGCAACGTTTGAGATGATGACATTGTTTGTGATGGTGATGACGATGATGATGAAGGCGGTGTTAATAATAAAGAAGTATTTATATTCTGACATTTACAAACTCCATTCTCTTTAATACTTTTACAATTATAGTTATTATTTATATTATTATTATTTATATTGTTATTATTATTACTATTATTATTAATATTGCAAATACTATTAAAGCCCTGCTTACAATCAGTAGTTTTGGAATCATAATATTCAGAATCTTTGGAACATATCCCTGATGACCTAACAAAACCTCGACATAAATCATTTACTGATGTATCGATATTTTGAATAGGCAGCGACAAGTTAGTGTAGTGCGGCAGCAGGCCCGTAGATGGCCGATCTGACGTCACAAAGTTGAGTTGGGTGGCCCCCTTGTAACCATCGACTCCTAATTCGTTTAGTATCTTTATCGTTTCATCCGGGTTGTCCTGGCGGCGTTAAAAGTGAAATTAACTTTAGACATCAAAAAAATTAAAACTTGTCAATTTAGAAGGTAAAAATATGAAATATTTTATAAAATGTTTCTTGAAAAACTATAATTTTAAAGTTCATGGGACAGAAGAGAAGAGTATATAAAAAAAAACATGGAAAGTTTCCCCCAAAACTAACAACGATAATAGGAAAGAGCCAGAAATTCATCTCTTCGGCCTTCATGCCCACCAGCTGAACGTTAGCAGGCATATGATTGACAGCATAGCTGGCTTTCACAAACGATTGATTAAAATCTTCAAAGTTAAAAGTTTTCAACTTCATGAGGAGAGTCTTTAGTAAGGCCAAGCAAGGCTTCTGCCTAATTCTAAGCATCATCTGATTAGGAAAACCTCTAAGTAGGCCAATGACTTTTTCTTTAATGTCCATCCTTAATTTTTTTGATATGTACAAGCCAGGTTTTACTATTTTTGGGCAGTTTAGGAGCATGTAAACGATGGAATATTTGATGATCTGAACAAAAATTCATTACGCTGTTTGAATGTTAACGTTATTTTGAATGTATATCAATCAAGATTAAGTAATGTAAACGAATTTTATAGATACAACCAAACAAACGAATGAACAAACAAACGAAAAAACAAACAAATAAGTTATATCTTCAAAAGAAAAACATTCCTTCTACAAAACAACTGCCAACAGGCACTAAACAGACAGAGAATAGCAGCATGAAAACAAAAACCAACCAACCCACCCTATGCAAATAATCGCCATGCGTCTGCCTGGGATATGCATCCAATAGATTTTTCATCCTGTAGTAAACATTCTCATCTCTGATTTTCGCAATGGCCCCACCAAATGCTGTGCAATACTTAATGGGCCCAAAACTAAATAAACTCAAATCGGCATTTGGATTTCCAAAATTATTTAAACCAGTAAATCCTTCAGCCCAGTCTTGAACAACCAGAAGATTGTAACGTTTTGCAATTTCAATGTAAGGTTCTAAATCGTACCCTCTGCCATATATGTTGGCTAATATTACTGCTTTTGTTTTTGAAGTGATCAGTGATTCTAAGAGTTCCAACTTGGGTTTCATTGTGGTTGCATCGATATCTAGGGCCACCACTTCGAGACCGTGCTCATGAACAATTTCGACCATGGCAGGGATGTTCATGGCCGACATGATGATTTCGGAACCGGGTGGAAATTTGAATGCCTGGAGGAAGAGATCAAGTCCTGATCTGACTGACAGACATGGCAGCACAAAGTTTGGGTTAACCTCGTTTATCAATAATTCTTCTATGCTTTTTATGATTTTTGGTTCATCGCTGATTGAGCTTGTTGTGCACCACCATGCGGATTTGATAAAATCGCTCCAATTGGCATCTGGGACATTTGATAAAAAGTATACCATAAACAACCTTATATCATATATTCATATTAAAAGTTATTGTAATGAAAAGTTTGCAGAAATTATAAAAATTATGACGGAATTTATTGTAGATAATTAAAAAAAATAGAAAAACCATTCACGTACCAATGAATACTGAAGTGTAAGGCACTATATCTATGTAAGACATGGATACATTACTTCAATAACAACAACATTTCAAAATTTCTCTGTTGAATTCAGAATTTAAAAAAGTTTTTCAAAAAAATTAAATTGAGATAAATTATTTTCTTGAAATAAAGTAATTAAATTGAAATAATTAACGAATTTGAAGTAGAAAAATTGAATTGAAATGATCAACCAAATTTCAACTACTGAAAGTTGGGTTAATTTTAGTTGTTCAAAATAACATAACACTACATTCATTTGAAGAATGTTTTTACTCTCTCTCTCTTTCTCTCCTCTCTCTCTCTCTCTCTCTCTCTCTCTCTCTTTCTCCCTCTCTCTTCTTACTTTTTCTCTCACATATAGTTAAGCTAGCTGTTTGTTAATAATATTTACTATGTCCTGATCTGAAAATGAAACTGGGTAAAATCTATAGTAAGATTTACAATAATATGGGGTAAGTATTATTTAAAATTTCAGAAATGACGGTGTAACATATAAGCCTTTATTTATATATACATACAAAAACACATTCATAAATAAATATTACTATATATCATTATACATATAGTTCTTAAACCTATGTGAACTTAAAAAACTACTATATATATATATATATAATATATATATATATATATAAAATATATATTATATATATATATACATAACTTTAGAAAAGTGAGTATAAACGAATTAGGTAATATAAACTAAATCATAAATAAAAGAATGAATGAATGAAGTACTGAACACAAAATAAATGATTTATATTTGCTTTAAACATGAAGTGTGTTTTTTCGTTTGTCCTGTCAATTCAAGATGTCTCATTTCTTATTCTCACTCACGTCTCTCTCTCTTTCTTTCTCTTTCTCTCTTGAAACTTGCATGCACGCTATTTGAAATTTGAGTATTAGATAAACTGATAAATGAATTTTTAATGTGATATCGATAAAAATGTTAGCAAGAAAGAAAAATTAAAAAATTTTTTCTGTTTAGTTAGTTTTAATTTAGTTGTTTATTATATATTTCATATTTTACTTCAAGTTATTAAGTAGAAAATAAAATGATGCATGTGTTCAGTAGCAGATAATCAAAACTAGTTGTAGGAACAGTGGTGGGAGTGGGCAAATTTCGATAATTAAAAAACAATAAGATAAAATAAACAAATTTAGTTGAGTCATCAGCATCTCAATATTATATATATATATATATATATATATATATTTTGTTACATTATATTATAATTATTTTATTAATAAAAAATTTCAAATTTGAAATAAATTATTAAAAATTAGTTTGTTTGATTTGATCAAAGATAAAAAAAGACAAATGTTATTAAACTAACCAATCATTTTTAAAAAAAAACATTTATTAGGAAAAAAAATCAACCTTTAAAATTTAAGGCTTAAATAAAAGCCATACAGCAGATTAGCTATAACAATTTTTAAATATCAGTTAAAAAAATAAATTGAGCGATAATATGTTTTCCAACAGGTGCGAGTTAACAAATTGGGAATCGATTAAAAAACCATAGAAGTGAATAAATAATTACTTTAAGGACAATTTCCTAGAATTTTACTTCACATATACTTAGAAAACTTAGCTCTAATTGAACCGGTTTTGTTCGAAAAACTTTTTCTATTCATTCAAAGAATTTTATTCATGTTCAAAGTATTTTATTTTATCAAAGTTGATTTTTTGAGCAAAATTAGGTTGACGTTCTCTTAGTCACACTTTAACGGCAAAACCAATAAAAAGCAGACAAAATTAAAATTATTCCCAATAGTTTATACATATCCACACATGCACAAACACACAGAGAAAAAAACAAGAGCCCACTCCCTCCATCAATTAGAACAATTAGCAAGGGAATACATCCATACCGAACCTTTTACCTCGCCTTACAAGTGCATTACTCATCACTTCCGTATGTACTTTGAACCGAGCTAATTAAACGACACGTAAAAAAATTACTTCAACTAAATATCAAAATACACGTCTGCAAATACACAAACACTCACACGCTATATACATACAACTTTTATTCAAAAAATGATTGAAGTGAAATCTTTGTAAACTAGCAATGTTTACGCAGTCTATTTACGGTTATCGTAATAACTTGTGGTTATATGCATACGATATAATTTTCTCTATTAATTTTCTTTTCAGTTGAAAAACTAAAACGCGAATTGTACACACAAACACAAACACAAAAATCGGTGCAAATGTCAGTTACATGAACAAATGAATGAATGAACAAACAAATGATCGAGTGAATGAAAGAATTAATGAATGAAAGGTTAAAGGTCGGCAGCCCGGTATAGCGAGGCTATGTCATCTTCACTGTAACCTTTTGCCTTGGCTTTCTTAAATAACTGAGCAAAGAAAAAAAATCTTAAATTAAAAAATTTGATAACGTAAAATGATTTATTACGTTTGTAATAATAACAATTCTAATAATATTTAACAAAAATTTTAAGGAATGATTATTACATTTATACATTACAAACAAACAACCATAAATGGATATATGGTCGTTGAAAATGATATTCAATAAGAAAGATATAACACAAAAGCAGTGGCCAACATTTTAATAACAAAACAATGGATCATATGATTCTCATTAACATAAATTAGCATAATTTATTAGCTCGAACCTCATTAACAGCCGCACAGACGGGCAGTGGTTGGTCGACAGTATCGCTGAGATTGATGGCCAGTTTCATGTCCTTTTGCATGACGTTCAGCTTACAGTTGGGCTCGGCTATTCTGTTCTTTATCATATCTGGTATAAATTTTATTATCATTCATATTATTGTTATCATTTTATTCATCATAATATCATCATCATTTAAGAATATGATGATGAAGAGGTTGTGGATGATGAGCCAACTGAAAAGTGAGTGACCTGAAAGAGAATTAGTTGATATATTTAGGAGCAATCTTAATGGCAAAACATGAAAGTGTAAAAATGATGATGCAGTGAGGAATGACATCAAAGGAAATCAGTAAATGTTTGACAAAATTTAATTGTAATGAAGCTGATTAATAACTAATATCCAATGAATGAGACAAAACGACAAATGAAGAACAAAACAACGCAACTACCAACCAATTCCCTTTTCATGTATAAAAATCGAGCTGATGGACGAATGGCTGATAATCTTCATCACTTCAGTATTATCCAGTCCCAATTTCGTAGACAGTGCCAAGCATTCAGCCAGACCAGACAGGGCAGAGCCGAAAATCAGCGTAAGAACTAGTTTCATTTTAGTGGCGGAGCCCACCTCCCCTAGATGAAACTTATGTTTGCTGATGGCTTGAAAACATGAGTAGCAGTCGTCGTAAAGAGCCTTGTCGCCGGCTGCAAGCACCACAAGCTGGCCTGCTCGTGCTAACATTCTGTTGCCAATCACTGGTGCCTCTAAGAATCTTCCTCCTTTGCTTACCACGGCCTGTTGTGTGGTTGTTATGTGTGGGTATTGTTTGTGACAGCCTCAGTCAATATGTTGGCTACGCGATTTTGTGAAATGAGTATATAATAAACAGAAGCGCTGTTAATTTTTCACAGTGAACCAGCAACAAAAATATACATCAGAAACATAATGAATTAGAATTGAACTACACAATAGCTACAGCACAAAAAACAAACAAATATACGAGCAATAAACAAACAGATATACAAAAACCCAAACACACACACACACGCACAAACCTCTTGAACATCTTTAATAGTTTCAACATCAACAGTTGACATATCAACATAACCCTTGCCAGGGCTGATACCTTGTAGGACGCCACAGTTGGCAAACACAAGCTGTTTGGATGGAATGGCATATAAACAATCAAGTAATGTCATTTTTTGGTTAATATAGCATTGTCTTTACATATATGATTGATTTAGATTCTGAAAACAATAGCATACACACACACACACGCACACTAACATCTTTAAGAGCAGCTGGATCAGAAACACACGAGAAGGTGATGTCACAAAGTTGCACGACCTCAGCCGGGGTGCTGCCTTTTAGGGCTCCATCTTTAGTAAACTCATAACACTGTGCCATCAAAATGAAAATTAACTCTTAATCATTCAAAATCATTAATAAACTAATATGTATGAAATAAAAAACCTTGACAAATCTGATTAGGAATAAGATAATCATGAATTATAATAAAAATATAATTATAAATGATAATAAAAATGGTTGAGAATGACAGCAAAAACAATTCTAAATAACCTTTGAAGTTGTTCTATTCCAGACAGTGACCTCGTGACCCGACCTCAAAAGATTATCGACCACACCCCGGCCAATCATGCCTAATCCTAAGAATCCGATCCTCATCGGAGTAGCGATGATGTTGCGAGATGATATCGAGTCATTCAGTGGTGGCAATATGTCTGGCATGTAACCTTCAGGCTGATGATAGTGATGTAGGAATGACTGATGCAATAGGAAGAAGATGATAAAGACAAAATTAAAGGAAAAATAATTAAAAAACTGGAAAACAGAATGCAAAATATCAACTTACAGCATAATAATCATCGTTGGCATACTGCATGGAACTTCGCTTTGAAGAAGGACCTTCAAAACTGTCGTCGTTTTCGTTACTGTCATTGAATTCAAATGAATCTTTCTGCTTTTTGTTGGAAGATGAAGAGGTTGAAGGTCCTGAATCTAATAACCTCTTTTTAGTGAAACTAGCTGCTTGCTTTGTTGGAGATTTCGAATCATAATCAAAAATATTAAGATGTTTCGCTGCTTAAATATATTTAATTAAACCAAAACATTAAAATATTTCTAACTTTGTTATTTAAAAATATGGCTAACTTGCAATTTTTCAGCTTCGTCACTGGGTGATACATCAGGTGGTTCAGCCCAATCTCGAAGGCTATCCAATTTCTCAGCAATCTCAACCGCCTCCTGAAAACCTCTTAGCATCCTAGATGGTGTTTTATACAGCTCCTTGAATTTTGTGAACGGCCATATTGTCTCCTCTAATACATAGGCACTATTTTTTTTTAATTAAATTTTATTATTATAAAATACAAATTATTTGAAGTACACAGTTTAAATAACAATAATATGTTTCTTTTATTGGTAAATCAGTGCAACCATTAACAGGCCAGAAGTGATTTTAATAAACAAATTATTGAAATACTCTATCAATTTTAACACCAGAAACATGTAAACTTGGATTGGTGGTTTAGACCAAATTACTAAACCATTATTAAACCAAAGGATTTTTAAAGTATTTTTAGTATTTTATTGAAAAACGATTAATATGAAAACATTTGTTAAAAAAAAGTGAAACAATTGTCTGAGATTTATTAACAAAATATGATAGTGAATTAATTATTTTAATTTTATTAATATAAATATCAATTATTCAACTAACTAATTTTCAGAACCAAAGAAAAAAATAAACTGTTTGGGTCTCTTGTCTGCTGGCTTTTTAACATCTGGCATAGGGTGGCAAACCTTCATTCATACATAGTTTAAAAAAACGAACAAATATTTAATAATAATAACCCCCAAAATATAATAGTTAGCAGAAAATCATAGCCATTATTTTAAAATTAGGCTAGTAAAAATGTAATTAATTAACAATCTGAATCATTCAGTTTCATTTAAACATCACACCTTTCCAGGCCATGGGGGAAACCCCTTCATTTTAGCCCTGCGTGATAAAATTAAATAGGATCATTAATTTTTTTCATAAAAACGACAAAAATTTTTGAAAAATAACTAAGATTACCAAACGATATCTCCCAATTTGAATTTCGATTCCATTTTTCGCTGATCCGTCACGTGACTCCAACTTTACAACATCGACAATTAATTTAAAAAAAAAAATAATACGATTGAGAATATTTTTTTACAACTTTCACTTTTAAAATGTTTACAACTTCCACTTTTAAATCTTTGGGACCGAAATTGATGCTTCCGAGATGTATATATACATGTACATATGTATAGATAAACATTGCTTAACGAATCAAATCAGTAAATCGTGTTCTGATTGATTAGGTTTTAGTTCTTGAGCGCGCTCCTCAACTTTTCCTAATTTCATTTTTTTGCAAAAATGCCTAGAGGTATGATTGAATTTTTCAAATTTTAGTACTTTTTTGTGATTTTGTTTTGTTCTGGTTTATTTTATTAAGATTTACTTTTTTACAGAGGAGCATTGTGAAACCACATTTTTGCGATTTTGATTTAAATTTTTAAACTTAACATCTTAAATTAAAACTGAACGTTTTTAAAAGCTTTCATTCTTATAAACTTTGTTTTTTTAATTTAAATCCGTTAATTAAACTTTCAAATATATTTATTATTCCAGGTAAAAAGAAGTCTCACAAAGGTGGTCACAGACATTTCACAAATGAGGATGACCTTGCACTAGAAGCAGAGAGAGTTAGGAAAGAACAGGAATGGAGGGTGGGTATATATTTTAAATTTAATTATTTAGTTATACAAGTTCCATTCACCTTTTCCTTTACTTTACAGTTTACTTCCATCAACATTTTAAACCTTGTTTTTAATTCTTTAAGAGTTATATCAAGTTTTATTGTAATTTTGGTTTAAATTAATAATACAGTTCAACTAATTTAATCAAATTTAAGTTTATTGAATTTTTAATTTTTAGTCGAAGAAAGGCATAGAAAGTGATGAGGAAGGAGAAGAATCTGGAGTTCCATCTGGCTTTACTCTCAATCAAATACCTAACATAAATGAAGACTCAAAGGAAAGTGAGGAGGAGTCTGAGGATGATGGCAGCGAAGACCTGGTATTTATATTTTGTCTAAAAAATTATTAATTGTTAAATTATTTTAAAAATTAGTTGTATTAATTTAGTTCTCTTTCCACTATTAAAAATCTCCAATCAACCTTTAATTAACAGGACGATAAGCCAAAAGGTGTATCTCATCTAATCGAAGTTGAAAACCCAAACAGAATTAAACAGAAGCCTAAAAAGGTTACAGAATTGGTCACAGTTAAACCAAACCTATCGAGGAAGGAAAGGTTAGAACCACTCTTCATTACAGATTGCATCACCAATTTTATATTACTTAAAAAATTTTGCTTCTTTTACATTATTCTTTTTTATGTTACTAATATGACATTTTATAACAAAAACAAAATAATTTTTTTTACTTTGTTTCAGGGAAGAGTTAGAAAAACAACAGGCCAAAGAAAGATACCAAAAGTTACATGAGGCTGGTAAAACAGAAGAAGCCCGTGCAGACCTTGCAAGGCTTGCTCTAATTAGGAAGCAGAGGGAAGAGGCTGCCAAAAAGAGAGAGGAGGAGAAAAAATGTAAGAATTATTTTTTTTAATTTTTCATTCAAATTTTAATTTTTGGCTATCTTAATGGGATTTTTTTTTATTTATTTGGGTTTATTTAATTTTTTCCTAAATTTAGTCTTAAGCTAATTTTTTTATGTATATTTTATGTATTAAAACATTTATTAATTATTAAATGGTATTTTATTTAACACTTTTAGTAGCAGAAGCCAAGTCAGACAAGAAGTTAAAGGCCTAGTGATGATAATAGTTATAAATTGATGTTGTAACTATATAAATTTATTAATTTTGCTCGACATATTCGTTCTTGATACGTTTTTAGCTCGTTTAATGCGCGTCGATGACTTTTCTTTTTTAAATGTTAATGATTTTGGGATGAGATAAATGTTTCGTCTGCTATTTGGTTTTCCCACGCTTCATGAGCTGGATTCACTTTTTACCACTCATTTACCCAAATTGCTATTTTCCAAATGTTAATTGCTATATAATATAAATTTCATGTAACATTGATTCACTTTTAAATATGTTTTCTTCAGGACGGTGTTGAATTTTTTCGTTTTCAATTTGTTAATGAAATAAAAAAAATGAACTAAATTCGAAAAAACAACTTTCGTTTCCAATAGTTATTTAGCAAACGAGAACAAGGTTTGAATAGAAAGCGATGGAGTTTCTTGATTACTTGATCGACGATTTGGTATTGTACGCCAACGATAGCCCCTTCAAATTTCTATTCTACGTTCTCATTTTTCTGTCGCCATTTTTTGCCGCCTCGTCCTATTATTCGTGGCAGTTGCATTTAAAAATAGAGGATTCAATCAAACGATATAAATTAACGTTAGCAAAGTTGGAAGTTCTCAAAGGTCAGACCCCAACTAATGATGGTGATGGTGAAGAAGATGGTTCAGCAACAACAACGATTACAAACAACCATGCCATTAATAATAATTGTACAAATCGCAACCATAGTAATATTAATCAAGACACCATCAACCACATTTCTAACAGTGTTAACATCACTACTAATCTTCTCAATAATACTAATATTAATGGTACTATAAAAAATAATGACCGCCTACCAACATTACAAAGATCATCAGTGAATAGTGAAATCAGTAGCAGTTGTAGTACTCCGAACGATTTACATAAAAATGCAACATAACATTTTGTTTTACATTGTCATTTTTGTTGCCTACACACACTCACACACACATTCACACTCACATATGTATGTACATATGTATAACTTATTAAATTATCTTATTGTTTTCTTTCATTTTGTTGCCAGGCTATGCTATATTCTTTAGTTTGATCATTCATTCTCTGTTTCTCTATTAGTTTTTGATTTATTTTCAATATTTAAATTCAGAGCATTATTTATTTTTGTTTGTGATGATATACCATATACATTCTTTTGCACACTGTATTAATTGCTTATAACTCTTAAAAATAATATATCATGATCAAAATATTGATATAGGAATCTTTTTTCTATGCCAAGCTGTCAATATTCATTTGCAATTTTATTTCTTTGTTCATCTATATTCAATAATAATTTTTATCTTTCGCCAGATTAAATGTAAGCATTTATTATTTGCAATTAAATTTATTGTATTAAAAATCTCACCAAAATAAATTCACATTAAAAATATTGATTCACCAATGTATGTATGTATGCATGTATTAATATCTGTGCTATGTCAACGTTTATGAAGTAGCGTTGTAAAGTCATGTAGTTCATGGTAAAAATAATTAATTGTCCAATGTATTATTGACATTTATAGTTTAACTTTCAATTCCTTTGTTATTCTTCAATCTCTCTCTCTCTCTCTCTCTTTCTCTCTCTCTCTCTCTCTCTCTCTCTCTCTTTTCCTCTCTTTTATATAAAACACTAGTACCATTACAGGTTAACATGAATCCCACGAACAAGTCTTGATCTGTTCTTGCAATAATCCTGTTTATAATATAATTATTAAAAAATTATTCTTAAATTAATAAATAAATATAATAAACATAATATGTATATATTGCGGTTAATTGGTTTATCAGCCATTAGATTTCACGATTATTATTGCTAATCGTCAAGTGTAGTTCGCTCCTAAGAGTATTTACGTTGAATTTTACGTGTAGAATTGAACTATAGTACTCGAACTTAAAACGTCGGCCTGATAGAAGCAATTGCTTTGTTATATGATCGCTCCGTAATTAATATTATTCATAATGTAATTAATTATTAGTGTGTGTACGTTTTGCATTCAGAAATGTACGCCCGTTGTACACACACACACGTACGTTCATATGCAAGACATACAACATTCACATTTTGTATATACGGTTGTTTATTGGGGTATTTTTGTTGTATATACGGTGTATATGAATATTTATACTGTGTGTATTTCGAAGTTGTTATGTGTGTAATTGTAATGAGCACTTTTATAAGACGTGTGTGTATTTTGTATGTGTTATGGATACGCACAATGTTTTGTATTCGCACGCACACACACTCGCACGTGCGTACATACATTTGTACATACATGCTTGACTTCAGACGACTTAATACTATAACATTTGTATACAAATATCATTATGTCAAAGTTTATAACTTTATGATGTGGTGTAGAATTGATAGCGGTAGATAGATAAATTTAAGTTATTTGAAAATAGTTATATCATTTTTATGATAAGTTTGCATTATTTGATATGTGCTTACGTATGAGTAGTGTGTGAGTGTGTTTGTGTTTGTGTATTTGTGTGTGTTTGTATGCATGTTATCAGTATATTCATATTGTTGATTGTTATACAAAATAAAAGTTTAGAAAACTGAATATCTCTTCGTTGAAGAACGCAAAGAACATAGCAGTGCTCGTTACATTACATTTGATCCCACTTGGTTACATTACGTTTCAAAATCTTGCTACATCACATTACAGCTAATTACCTGTAATCACATACGTAATACATTTGCAATACTTACATAATTACGTGTAATTGCATACGTAATGTTTTTAATCTACTAACGTAAAAGGTAATCTTCCCGTCGGATTTGAACCTCTTGTTCAGGGTTTCAGCAATTTCGTCGGCCACTCTCTCCGAAGGGGTACCTTTCACCTCTACGTAACTGCACTCGCAACCGGCATAATGGCAGGTCAGGGACTTAAATTATGGATTAAAATTTTTCTACATTAAGTTTTGTATTGCTTAATTCGAAGCAATTTTTTAAATGCCATGTTGTAGATCGTATTGCGATCGCGATGAATGATGTTTGAGGTAAGAGTTATATAGGGTGATGTTCAGTTCGTACTTTTCTCATCCTGTCACTTTTGTTGGTTCCGGATCCGTGTATGAGTAGAGGGTGGAAAAATACAGTATCGCCAGCCTCCATCTCTAGCCAGGTTCTCTCATCTCTGTCCGGGTCGTATTTCACGCCGTGGTAGAATTTGTTCACGCCATTCTGTACATGCATCCATACGAGTTGTTTTATGTTTTTAATTTTTCAAAGGTCAAGATTCTATACACATTTTATTAATTTAATTTCAATGGTTTCAAAGTTCTCATCGCCAGCTAAACAGAATTAGATATTTAGTAATAACGCTTGTTATCAATTTTCCACAAGCATATATGCTCACGTGCAAAAACGGCACACTATAACAAGGAGATATCTTAGCATTCGAAGCCAGTCACTGCAACACAAAACACAGACTACGTGTTACTAAATCATATGCCGCCCCAATCACAAAAATTAAAACGACACAAATGGTTTTCCTCACTTCCCAATTGGGATATTCATGCTCCATGAGTGGGAGTTTGTGAGTGCCAGGAATAGCCACCAGGCATCCGTTCGTTCGATCGATCTTCTCCATGGCGGTCCACGAACATACGACTCTTTCGGCTGGTCTCACAGGGAAGTAGTACAAGTCCTGGTGCATTGGGTGACGAGAGGTTTTGGTGCCTGTTTAGTTGGGGGGGGGGGATTTTGATGCTTGTTTGATCGTTTGGTTGGTGTCTATACTACACTACGTATTTACTGATTTTACATCAGTACGTTTATAAGTTTATATGAATTCGATTTATGGTGATGATGACACTTTATTGGGTGTATCGTGTGTGTGTGTATGTGTGTGTTGAATGGGTATTTGTGTGTCTTGTGTGTGTATTTATGTGTGTATTGTATGGCAACTATACTAACCAGGGTCTGGTGGTTTGTTGATGATCATTGTAGATACTGCCATGATGTTTGGACCAACAAAACACGTTACGTAGTCAGATATCTATTAAATTAAATTGAATTAACTGAAAATTTGAAAAAATTACATTAAAATTAGGTTTAATAAATTTATTAAGGATATCAATTGAATCTACATTAACCCAAATTAACATAATATTATCATAATTTAAACATAACATTTAAAAAAATGACTCACAACCGAACACTAAAACAACCTCAGGCATTTGGCAATAGCTGAAAAGAACATTATCCCACTGAAAATCCTGGAGTTTGGTTACGGAAAGTTCCTCAATGCCATTACACTTGTTAAGAAGTCCTATGTCCTTCATGATCGTCATGCCCATGCTACTGACTCTACCGTTCACTATGTCTACAAAACGTTGGCTTTGTGATGGGAAAGAATCCATTTTAGTTACCAATTTATAAATTCTGATAAACATGTAATGAAAGCTATAAATTATATTATAGAGCATATTAGGGGTGCAATGATTGATGTGAAAAGAAACTTTACCATTTAGGGATTTGAATTTCTTTATAATTATAAAGCGTTTTTTGCATAAGGCGTTAATTAAGGACATTAGGTACATCGCAACTAATACAAATAGTTTGTGATATTAAACGGGTATTTCCAGACAATAATTGTTACGGTTTATCAAATAATTAGAAGTTTAGGAACTGTTATTAGATAAAAAACTCACTAAAATACGTCGAGTTTTTCTTTGGAGACAAGATTTTTAACGATAAGATATCCATTTTCTTCGTAAAAATCTCTCTGGGCTACTGTCAATTTTTGGTTTGGAACGTCCAAAGTGTAAATGTATTTAGATCTTTGAGGGGGCAGCTTGACAGCGGGGACTATGTTTGAAACCGGACCCTAATTTGGGAAAAATTAGTTTAAATTTCAAATTCGTAAAATTGTAAAATTTGAATTTTTCGTTTAACAAATTTGTGTCCATTTTGTTTCGTGTATAAGTAAAATTGAGATGATTTAAATCGAAAAAGGTTATTTTTTCAAACTGACCAAAATTATTTCATTTTCTTTCTCGTCTTGAATGTTGTACCGTTTACTATATTTCTCCATCGTTCAAAACTATTAATTCTGCTCAACGCTGTTTATAGAAATAGACTTATTAATTAACTAATTAATTGCTTAACTAATTAATCAACCAATCAATCAACTAACTAACAAATTGATAACGATATTAAATCCAAAATTGCCGCTTGCAACAGCCACCAACTCAGACAACTTATAAAGTCTTTGTAATTATCAGTTCCAAAGAAAAAGACTGATGCACATGCAGTTAAAAAATCTAGAATACCTAATTAAAATGAAACTCTTAATATTTGAACGAATGATAACATTTTATTTTCGACCTACTACTTATCAGCTTAAGCGCGCGCACAGATACAAACGCAGATATATAATGATAATAATAATTAAAATATATAAACTTAAGTACCTGTCTATTGATAACATTCGAGGTATGTTCTTCATAATCATAATGCTTATCTTAAGCCTGCCCATGAATATATATATAAATATATATATGTACAATTGTACATGGACCTGCCTGTGTGTCAAGCATGTTTGATTATAATAACCACAGAATAGAACATAAATTGACTCTCAATCGCACGCTTATCAGAGTTTTTTCAAGTTTCAAGCTAAATCTTTATTTAAATTATAAAATAATAAAAAGTAAAAACATGACAATACCAAAAATAATATAGTCATAATCGAAATAATAATGATTCCAAGGACACACACACACATATATACACACACATACATATATAATCTTTAGTAGTTTCGAGTTAAACCATGATAATATCCATGGAACATCATCATTGTGATCACTTTGTTATTTATTTTTAGAAGCAATTTATTTAAATTTCCTCTAAATTTATTTTCGATTTTGTCCGTAGTTCAACAGTAATTTAAAAGAAATTTAAATGAATTGCTTGTAAAATAAATAACGAAGTGATCGCGATGATGATATTATCATGGTTTAAATTTCTTCAATTAAATTTAATTGCAGCTCGTCTTAATTTCTTTGCCTGGAGTTTTAAAATTTAGTTGAAAATTCCGTGAAACAAAAGACGATCATCGTGAATTAGCGACACCGATATAAAATTCATAACTTTTTCATGGGCTACCTCCGAAAATTCTTTTCATTTCATTTAAATGTGATGGTTATTCTGAAATATTTCTCAATAACGTTTGTCAAAAAACTACTCTACGGAGAGAGAGATCCGAGGTAGAGGTTAAAGGTTAAAGGTCAATTACACTCTTCCAAAGTTCCGCAGGTTATAACAGGTTATATCGAAGAATAAAATGATTCAAAAATTAAAAGACATCTTTTACGAAATAAATAATGGATAAAACTTTCAACGAATTTTCTTGTAATTTACATAAATACATTGAGTTATACGCAAACTATGATAGCAATGGTAATAATAATAGTGAATGAACCAATCCATTAATAAAATTAACCAACCAATAAATCAATCAATCATTCAATCAATAAATTAATCAGTAAATTAATCAATCAATAAATCAATCACTAAATAAATCACTAAATAAATCAATCAATCTATCAATCAATTGACAATGCCAGGACAAGTACATCGTTGAAAATTGTTGTTAACCATAAAATCGTCATCTATCGTAAAATTATTATATTATTATTATAATTACGTCTCATTATAATAAAAAAACATACAACCGTAACATCACCCATTACAAGCATCTCCATCAACTAGTTCTACACATCATAGCAGCGTCACTATCTGACCCTGAGCCACCGGAAGCCCCGCCAGCCTCACCCCTGCCCTCAAGGTCGGCCGCATTGAGGGTGTAGCCCATGTTTAGAAGCATCAGTTCTATGGGGTCCTTATTCATCCTCTGCTGATTTGCTTGAGCTGCGTCGTCTGAATCGTCGATCTCTCGTTTGTTCTCGTAACCGTCCTTGGTTGGGTGAATATGGCGATGATGATGACAACGATGATGGCGACGACGACGATGATGATGGTGACGACGATGATACACAAAAAATATCCCCCTTATAAAAGCTCACCGCGGGCATGGGGCTCCAGAGCCTGACGACGGGTTCGATGCCACTGGTGGCCAGTAGGCATGTGGTGGGGTGAGGTTCTAGGCAGTTGACAATCGAGTCATCACCTCTCAGGATCCTGACAATGTTCGTCGTTTTGCGATCCCATATGAAGAATGATCCGTCGTCTGATCCTGCAACTATGTACTGGCCGTCACTGATTGGTCGGTTGATTGGTGTGTGTCTTTGTGAATGTGTGTGTGAGTGTGCGTGTAAAGGGGTGATGATGACAACCCAATCAATCAACGAATCACACAATCAACGACTCATCCAACTAACCAACCAGCCAGTCAGCCAGCCAGCCGATCAATCAGTCAACCAACCTCCCAAAATAATTAGCCTCCTTGATATCAGTAGTCGTGTTGCAATGACCACAAAATCGCTGCTCATAATCGTAAGCCTTGCTGCGACAGATCTTCTCGTTCTCCGACAACTTCTCGAGGTTTGAACTGCGTGAGTACATCGTGTTATCTGTGGTTGTTGATGATGATTGTGATGATGATGATGATGATGTTGATGATGATAATGATGATGACGACGATGATGATGACAATTGTGGTAATGACGATTGCGACGAAGATGATTGAAAAAAAAATCAAGAAGAAATACCTAAAATTTTTTTGTTATTTATAGCACTTTCAATTTCTTTTTCCAAAGTTAGCAGAGCCTGGGAGTTTGGGAATTTCATTTTCGTCATCAGTAAACATCTACTCGCTTCGTCCAACCATTTAAGGTTTATCAAACATTTGACCAATCGGAAGTGAGCTTTCAAATTTTGATCATCCAATCGTATAGCAGTACAGCTGTCCCTCATAGCTGCATACGAATCGCCATTCCTGTGATTGGTTCAAAAAATTTATAAGAAGACAAAAATAACGATAACAAATATTAATAATAACAACAACAAAAATTTTTAATAATAAAAATAATAATAACCAATTTCTTTTTGATAAGGCCATAGCCCTATTGCAGTAGAGTGTAGATATATTGGGGTACTGGCTAATGGCATTGTTGTATATGTGCACTGCCTTATTGTAATTCTTCAAGTTGAAGCTGTTCTTGGCCATTTCTTTCATATCTTCTAGGAGTTTGTTCTGTCTTGTGGTTGCCGTTGTTGTTGGCTCGGAATCTGTGCTGTTTAATTGTGGTTGGTTGAGGGGTTGGTTAAATGGTTGATTGAATGATTGGTTAGATGGTTGGTTGGTCGGTCGGTCGGTTGGCTGATGCATTGGTTAATTAAAAAGAACCAAACGACAACGAACAAACAAACAAACAACAAACAGACAGACAGACAAACAAAGATGAACCAACCTATCAGAGAGTGATTCTTCGTAGACTGCAGAGGAAACGGACAACGTTGGCACACCACGTGACGACGACGTAGATGATGATGATGATGGTGGTGGTGATGATGATGATGGTGGTGACGATGATGATGATACTAAATGAAGATTTAGTTGTTCAAAATCGTGCTGCTGCTGATGATGATTAGAAAAGCCGTTTGTAGTTTTGTTGATGGGAGCTAGCGACGAATCTATTGAATGGGCGATCAAAATCAAACAATCAACCAATTAAACACTGTATCGGTAGCTCAGACAGTAGAAGTTTCAGGTTTCGGGTGAGTTTTTATTGCGCGTTAACCAGGTTCGAATACTGAATAAAACTGAAAAAGTACCACATGACGTGTAGCAATATCACACGGTAGTAGGTTTTACAGTATTTTATAGCACAAGTTTAACTGCAAATGAGTGTGGTAAAGAACAACTTTGAATATGCCTGCATTTGTAAGAACAGTCTAACAAAGAACAAAAAGCTCTGTCGCATATTGCGCTATATAAATTATTATTATTATTCATATTATTAAAAAATACCCAACCACCTTTTAGATAGCCATTTTCATCGTTTTGAAATTCAGATGAATATTTATCATTTCTCTTGAAGAGGCAGTCTATCTTCTGCTTCCATCTTTTCTCGAAAATGTTGAACAAGTAAATTTGCTCCCCGCCCAAGTTCACCAGCAGCTCCTGGCCGTTCGGACTGAAAGCTACGTACGTTGAGGCCAGCGTTCGGTGGCGTTTCCGGAATTCGACTTCTTTTTCCGGGAGATGGCCTGCGTTGATTGGTCGGTTGGATAAATGGTTGATTTGATTTGTCG